CTCGAACCCGTGTCCCTTGCATTGGCAGGCGGATCCTTAACCACTGTGCCACCAGGGAAGTCCCCAAACCCATGCTCTTTCCTCTACACCATGCTGCCTAATGTGAGATTTTGGGAGGGACAGCAAACACGGTTCCTCTCTCCTTGACCCTATCCCCGGGGGCCCCAGGATCCTGCTGCAGGGAGGCACATACTTACACCAACCCTCCTCCAGAGGCCTTGAGCTCCCCTGCTGTGCTGACTCAGTGACTCTGCTCAGCTCGGCCTGGCCTGTGAGCATTTGAATACCCAGGGCTGCTGCCCACTGGTCACTGCTCCATAACCAGGTGGTGCCCAGCCCAGAGCCCCAAGGTCCAGCCACCAGAAGGGAGTTGTGTTGGGTACTCACCCACTCACTGCGGAGGGTTCTAAGTCTGCAACTCAGGTAACTGGGAAACAAGTGACTGGGACTTACCAACCCCAGGTTGCTGGAGCCAAGTGCCTGCTGAACCCAGGTGCTAGGCTGGGTTGGACTCTGCCCACCAACAGCAAAACCACATTACCCAGGAGGCTTAGAGGACAGATGTTCTGGTTAACTGGATTTGCCAGATATCTTAAGGCTAATTGGCAATGCCTTTTAATGCCTGGCTTTAACAGCAAAAAATTAGAAAGACCAAAATGTCCAGCAATAGGGGACTTGCATATGTAAGTTGTTCATTTAATGGAATACTATGAAGTCATTCCAAATGTTACAAAAAAAGTTCAGCAACTGGAGAAATTGTTATACATATATATTTTAAAATTTTATGTGTGTATGTATGTATTTATTTGGCTGCGTTGGGTCTTCATTGCTGCTTGCTGGCTTTCTCTAGTTGCAGCGAGCAGGGGCTACTCTTTGTTGCAGTGCTCAGTCTTCTCACTGCAGTGGCTTCTCTTGTTGTGGAGCATGGGCTCTAGGCGCACGGGCTTCAGTAGTTGTGGCTCGTGGGCTCCAGAGCGCAGGCTCAGTATTTGCGGCACACGGGCTTAGTTGCTCCCTGACATGTGGGATATTCCCGGACCAGGGCTTGAACCCGTGTCCCCTGCATTGGCAGGCAGATTCTTAACCACTGCACCACCAGGAAAGTCCAGAAATTGTTATATTAAGGGAAAAGTTTCGGAATAGTAGGACAGAATTAGCCCTTGTTTGTAAATTTTTTTTTTTTGCGGGATCTTAGTTCCCTGACCAGGGATTGAACCTGGGCCACAGCAGCGAAAGTGCCGAGTCCTAACCACTGGACCACCAGGGAATTCCCGAAAAATATTTCTTGTATATAGATATAATAGGAAAAACATGAGAAGACACTAAAACGTTAACCATGCTATCTTTAGGTGTTAGGATGACAGATGACCTCTTAAACATAGATTTTCTTTTGTTGAAAAGATGGTACATTTACATGGTTCGAATTCAAATAGTGCAGAACATTGTAAAGTAAAAGTAAGTATCCCTCCCATCCCTGTCTCCTAGTCACCCAGTCTCTCCCTGCAGGCAACCTGTGTGGTGCTGTTTCCTATATATCTTTCCAGATATTTTATGCACATAAAGTATATTTTCCTCTTCCCATTTTATGTGAAAGAGAGCACGTCTACACCTTACCCCCAATACTTAGCAGCTTAACACATTTATTGTCTCAGTTTCTGTGGGTGGGAAATCCAGGTGCAGCTTAGCTGGGTATTGTCTCCACACCTCTCACAGGCTGCAGTCCAGGTGTCAGACAAGAAATGTCTTAAGCTAAGTTTTGGGGTGATTGTTACCCAGCAATAGATAACTAATATAGACATGTAGGCTATTTCCAGTCTTTGCTATGATAATATTACATTTGCTTGTTAATATTGTGTTTTTCTGTTTTCTTATTGCATTACACACCCATAATCAGGTCTACTCTGCCCACAGAGGATGGTATATTCCTGTCATTCCTTGCTCAGAGAAATCAACAGAAATTGAGCACCTACTGTGTGTCTATAATGCATTTCAGTGGTTTCCAATTACCTATGGAATAAAGCCCCACCCCTTGGTCTGTCATTAAACACCTGCCATATTAGGGACGCTTTCTTTTGCGGTACGCGGGCCTCTCACTGTTGTGACCTCTCCCGTTGCGGAGCACAGGCTCCGGACGCGCAGGCCCAGCGGCCATGGCTCACGGTCCCAGCCGCTCTGCGACATGTGGGATCTTCCCGGACCGGGGCACGAACCGTGTCCCCTGCATCGGCAGGCGGACTCTCAACCACTGTGCCACCAGGGAAGCCCCCATATTAGGGCTTTCTTAATCCACATGGAGGGAATGGGAACTTCCATGTATTAGGCAGGTCTTAGGTGCCAGCCCTGTCAGCAGCACCACTCAAGATCAACCTGATTAAAAGCATGGATGCTAGAGCCAGGCTGCCTGGGTTCCAACTTAGCAGCTATGTGACTTTGGGCAAATTACATAATCTCACTGTGCTTCAGTCTCATCACTTGTAAAACAGGGATGAGTATCTATCTCATAGGGCCGTTGTGACAATGAAATTAATCTTAAAAATTAATTATTTATTTTGGCCGCCCGGCTTGCAGGATCTTAGTTCTCTGACCAGGGATCGAACCCGTGCCACCTGTAGTGGGGACGAGGAGTCTTAACCACTGGACCGCCTGAAATGAATTTTATGTTAAGTGCATAGAACAGTGCCTTGTGCAGAGTAAGCAGCACATAAGCAATAGTTGCTGTCCACATACAGGGAAAGTGAGGCCCCCAAGGAGCAGGTTAAGTGACCTCCCAAGGCCATACAGCCATTAAATCTGTCCACTTTAAAAAAAAATTTGGGCTGCATTGTGTCTTCGTTGCTGTTCCCGGGTTTTCTCTAGTTGCGGTGAGCAGGGGCTACTCTTCATTGTGGTGTGCGGGCTTCTCATTGCGGTGGCTTATCTTGTTGCGGAGCACAGGCTCTAAGCGCTTGGGCTTCAGTAGCTGTGGCACTCAGGCTCAGTAGCTGTGGTGCAGGGGCTCAGCTGTTCCATCGCACGTTGGATCTTCCTGGACCAGGGTTCGAACCCGTGCCCCTGCATTGGCAGGAGGATTCTTTTTAAAATTTTTTAAATTTTTTGCTGTGTTGGGTCCTCGTTGCTGCACGCGGGCTTTTCTCTGGTTGCGGCGAGCAGGGGCTACTCTTCATTGCGATGCGCAGGCTTCTCATTTTGGTGGTTTCTCTTGTTGCAGAGCATGGGCTCTAGGCGCACGGGCTTCAGTAGTTGTGGCACATAGGCTCAGCAGTTGTGGCTCACAGTCTCTAGAGTGCACGCTCAGTAGTTGTGGCGCGTGGGCTCAGTTGCTACACGGCACATGGGAATCTTCCCACACCAGGGCTCGAACCCGTGTCCCCTGCACTGGCAGGCGGACTCTTAACCACGCATGACCAGGGAGGTTCCTGTCCAGACTCTTTTCTCACACTGACTCCCATCTCCAATGCCCTTCACTCACCTCTTGTATTAGTTATCTATTGCTGCCTAATGATATTACCATCTTGGCAGCTTGAAACACATTTACTAACTCAGTTTCCGGGGGTTAGGAGTCTGGGCACAACTTGGCTGGGTCCTCCGTAAGGCTGCACTCACAGTGCTGGCAGGCGGGGCTCATCCGAGGATCAACTGAGGAGGGCTCTGCTTCCCAGCTCAGGTGGTTTTGGTAGCATCCGGTTCCATGCAGACTGCTGCCCTGAGCTTCAGCTATTTGTTGGCTCTCGGCAGAGGCTACTTTTGCCACCTTGACACTGTGACCCTCGGATTAGGGCAACTCACACAACATGGCAGGTGGTTTCTTTAAAGCACGACAGATGTTGCAATGCCATGTCATTTAATCATGGAAACATCTTGCTGTAGTCCGCCTGCCACCTCAATGTGTCCAAGTCCTCCTGCTGTACAGAGAGCAGCTCAGGTCTCAAAATCCCGAAACCCAACACCCATCTCTTACCCCCACCCCACCAATTTGGAAGCTCCAGTCAAGGGTGTAAATGAAGAGATGCCTGGTTTGGTACTGGGAGTTTTCCTGGGGACCCTGGTCCCATAGCTGGGATTCCAGTTGGTGATGCAGAGCACCAGACTATCCCCTGCCCACCAGAGACCCCTCAAGGTGCTTTTCAGGAATTAGATTTTGTGACTGCTGTTTCTTCATCAGCTGCCTTATCAGCACCATTATGAGTAATGGTTCTGGATGCGTTACCTGATTCTACATCAAGGTGATTAAGGTCAAATTATAGGATGGGCACCCGTTAGTGCTTCATATGCCTCATCTGAGTGACACTTGGCTTAAGGAGCCTGTGGTCACACATTTACCAGTAGACAACCTAGATCAAAGCCCAGGTCTGTCTGCAGGACCCAAGGGCTTACCTTCAATGGTATATGCTTCTGGTTAAGGCTCTCCTCTAACTCTAAGCTTCCTCTTTTCTAGCCTCTAAGCACTTATAAAGAAGATAGGGAGTAATGGGAAGCAGACACAAAGAAGTTTACCACTCCTGAGAATCCCTTGATGCAATTTCCTTTTCCTTATTCAAAGGACATGAGGATCCTCAATTCCAATTTTCTTTGTCCTCCCTTAGACAGTTTATTAGCCAGAGTGGCCATTTCTATAACCAACAACAAAAATGCATCTTTCTTACAGAACCCAGACATGACAAGCACCAAGGCCTTTATCTTATTTTTTGGCCTCTGTGTGCCCAGATACCCTTACTATTTAGGAAGATGCTTCTATGGGGAGGTCTTGGTGGGAGGCAGGACTCTCCTCCCACATTAGAAGGCAAGGAGCCCAGAATGTCCCAGAATGGCAGAAAGACTGTCTCTTCTATGTGGAAGGGAAATTGCTGGTTGCCTTAGGGCAAGAGGGCCAAATTCCCCTATTTTGGCCAATCTGTCACCATGGCCCTAGACTTTTAAGTCTGGACAAATGCTCAGTGGTGAGAGGTGGCTGAGGCATCCTGGAGGGTTTGGCAGCCATGCTGCCAAAACACTTCCATCTCTGATGTACACTGACAGAGTAGAAATATTTATTTTTCATCTTAGAAATCTGGTCCCACAAAGGGGCTAACACTTCTTTTCAGTTCATCATCTTGACCCTTCAAAAAAAGAAATCTTTCAATTAAGAGGTAACGTACGTCGATAAAAGCAATTTTAGAGGTTGTGCTCAGATAAAATTATTTCTTATAAAATTATTTCTTATAAACCAGGCAACTCTAGACTTCCAGTTGCTTCAGAACTCCTTCTGTCTTTCATGTACAGTCCCTGAAGAAGAAAAGAAAGTAAGAGGTTGTCTGCAGACAAGGCACTTCAGAAACCACCCAGGAGAAAACCCAAGTCCGCCAGGAACTGCACTGTGAGCCCAGAGAGCTGCCAGCGAACGGGAAGGCCAAAGCCCCACCTGCATGAGAACAGCTGCCACTTTCCAGCGCAAACACTGTCGCACCTGGTTTCCAGCGTCTGCCCGGCCCGGCAAACACGGAAACCAGGCCCCATAGCCGAGATGAACACTGCTTCCTGGGGCTCGGAGCAGCTCCTGTGAGTGACAGTGAGGAATGCTTTCAGAGGCCCCTGCGGGCGCAGACTACAGAAGCAAGCCTTTTGCAAAGACAATGAGTTAGTGCAGATCAGCATGTTAGCAAAGCAAGTATCAAAAAAATCTTAAAAGTCTGGATAATACTCTTGATTTCCCTCCTGATTATCTGTCCAAGCTGCAGCCTATAAACCTGCTAGAAATCAGGAAGGAATCCCTCCTCTTAAGGCACCTGACTGGAATGGCTACAGCCAATGGGAGTGAGGAAAGCCCCCCTCCAGACACTGATCACGTGACACCTGTAACCCCCCGAGAAGGGGTGATCTGAATCCAGGCAGCACACTCGACCCCTTCTTTTGCTTCAGGGGCTTGTGTTTAACACGAGTCTTTGCGATGGAAGAAGTCTCAGAGTCTCTCTCAAGTCAAGAGGACAGACAGGGACAGGGATCCTGCAACTCTTCTCCCGTGTTCTGGCTGCACGCTCGAATCCCAGGAAACAGCGCGACATGGTGCCCATTTACTGCCTGACACGCCCAGTCTGTCAGGCGAGTTCAGGCAAGGAAGAGGAGAGGAGAGAGTCATGCTCCAAACAGAGGCTGGCCAGGGAGTGCTTCATCCTCCTTCCTTCTGCCCAGATGAGGCAGCTCCTTTCCAGAAGTTGTGTGAGGAAAAGGAGTTGTGCTCAGGTCAGAACTGGACCCAGCCTGTGCCTGGCTGAGTCTGGCTGGAGGTGGACCTGGAAAGGTTAGATAGGGAGGGGTGGGAGATTTCAGATATCTGAAAATACAAAGCAGATAAGACGGGACTTATTTCTGGGCAGAAAGAGCTCCAAAAGGCCAGTCCCCGAATGTTCTAGAACAGGGGTCAGCAAACTACAGCCCAGGACTAGACCAAATCTAGTCCTCTGCCTTTTTTAGTAGATAAAGTTTCATTTGTACAGAGCCATGCTCATTCATTTATATACTGTCTGTGGCTGCTTTTGAGCTACAAGAACAGTGCCGAGCAGCCGGAACAGAGACCACATGGTCTGCACAGTCTAAACTATTTGCTTCCTGGTCCTTTATAGAAAATGTGTGCTGACTCCTGTCCTAGAGCTTGTCCACATAAACAACTGTGTGACTAGTATTTAGCATCTCTTCACCCTGACACCAAGTAAAGGCTCGAAATTTTAAGGAAGCAGAAAAGGCAAGAGACCCTGCCTCAGAGGTCCCATGACAACGGGCCAAGGCCAGAACCCAGGTTAACTCTCAGCCCAGTATCCTAGGGTAGCTGCAGGGGAGGAGGGGAAGAGGGAGGTACTGGTGACAAGCCAAAGCACTTGGTGAGGTGGTTTAAAGACCAGAAAGAGTTGCAGAAGGTGGCTCCAGGCCACCCAGCAGTGGACACCAGCAAAAAGCCTTCCCGGAGAGAAACATGCCTCCCAAAGTGGCCACTCTGGGGCTCTGTCCTCTGGCTGGCCGGAAAATGTCTGAACCAGAGCTGTTGCTCCCAGGTTTTTGAGAGAAAGAGCCTTGGCCCCAGTCCCCCACAGAGAACATGACCCTCCTCACCCTGTGGATTTGGTAAAGTCTCCCCAGATGTCGGCGGTGGCAGTAGCGGCAGGCTTGGGCTGCGGCCAGGACACAGTGGCACCTCCAATTGATGTCTCCAAGTCTGAAGGGAAGGGAGAGAAGAGAAGGAGACAGAGGAGTCAGAGATCTTCCCTCTTGGTTGTCTCAGTGACCCCGAAATCAGACTCGAGATTCCAGGTGACTGAGAAAGACATATGCGGAGAGACGTGCTTTGGGGCAACAAAACACCTACAAGCAGCCACATTTCCACTGTCTTCTTACGAGCCCTTGAGGGGCTCCTAGAGACAGCAGAAGGCCACACACCCGGTGGAGGGGAGGGGTACCAGCAAGGGCGAGTCACACACCATCACCTGTACCTGAGGCTGACCTCGTTTCAACCGTTTATGTTGGAAATCTGTTCAAAATTTACTATCTCCTGCCCTGACCTCTTGGATGGAGAATGTCCACCAAAACCACAAGGTCATCTTCATATAAAGTCCTCAGTCCAGAGTCTGCATCAACAAGCTGAGACAATTCTGTGCCAGACAAGTACCAAGTGCTGGGAGCCAAACTGGTTAGGGGCTGGGGAGAGCCTTCCAGAAGTAACAAAGAAGTGGGCATCTGTGTGTATCTTTTTTTTTTAAGTGTGTGTGTATGTGCAGTATTGTGGGGAGCTGAGGGCTGCACTGTAGGCTTTTGGCCTCTGGACCTCTCCCACTATTAGACTTGATCCCGCAATTTCTCTTGTTATATTTTGCCAGTTTATCCTTTTTACTGAACACGTGAACTAGTTTCTACCATTTTACTTCGTATTTTCTGTTTACCTTGCTTAATTTCTTTTCTAATTTCCTACTTTTCATAAGAATGATAAAGTTTAATTTACTCCTTTTGGCTTTTTTTTAATCCCTGGGCTGTTTTGGAAGCTATGGATAGCATTATCAGTCTTTCCATATCTACTGCTTAGAATGCCTAGAGTTCCACCATTTTTAGTTATACAGCTGCGTGTATCTCTTCACTGGGGTGGGTGGCATGATGGGAGGGTGGCTTTTGTGTCTTTCTGGCACCTCCCCCAGTGCTGCCAGCTGTCCTTTCTGAAGGGCCTGTGCCTGCCACCCTCCACCTTCCCACCAATTTGCTATGTCTAGGGACTTCCCTGGAGGTCCAGTGGTTAAGACTCTATGCTTCCACTGCAGGGAGCGCAGGTTCGATCCTCGTCAGGGAACTAAGATCCTGCATGCCACGTGGTGTGGCAAAAAAAAAAAAAAAAAAAAAAAAATTTTTTTTTTTTTTTTTGCTATGTCTAATGTGCTCTGGGCTGGGAAACCAGATAAAACTAGGGCCCTCCACAGTTTAGTTTTGCAGTTCACCAAGTGCCTAACGGACATTATCTCATTTGAACCTCATCACAGTCACTGGAGGAAGACAGGCCAGGACCAGCTGTTTGACTTTATGCAGGTTACTTAAGTCTCAGTTTCCTTATCTCTAAAATAGACAGTAACAGTGACTACTTCATAAGACTGACTGGTCTGAGGATTAAATAAGTTAATATATGTGGAAGGCTTAGAACAGGCCCAGCAAACAGTGATGATAATGACGACAACATCACTAAAATGCGAGCTAACATTCAGCGAGTGCTTACAATGTTCCAGGCGTTGTTCTGAGTGCTGTATGTGGACTGGCTCATCGGATCCACACAAGAAACCTGTACTGTAGGGATTATTACTACCCCCACCCTACAGATAAGAAAATTGAGGAACAAAGTAGTAGGCAATTTTCTGAATTTGAACTCAGCCAGTCTGATTTTGGAACATAGAGTAAGTGCTCAAAAAATGTTAGCTATTCACAACTCTCATTACATGACACCATTTTGTTCGTAAACATGCCAACTGCCTGTCTTACACATTAAAACATAAGGCCTTGAGAGCAAGGACTTGGGCTGTACCTGTAGTATCAAAAGGGTCTCAAACACTACCTGGCACATAGCAGGATCTCCAAACTGGCCATTAAAAATGCACCAGCAGGGCTTCCCTGGTGGCACAGTGGTTGAGAGTCCGCCTGCCGCTGCAGGGGACACGGGCTCGTGCCCTGGTCCGGGAAGATCTCACATGCTGCGGAGCGGCTGGGCCCGTAAGCCATGGCTGCTGAGCCTGCGCGTCCGGAGCCTGTGCTCCGCAGCCTGTGCTCCGCAACGGGAGAGGCCACAACAGCGAGGCCCGCGTACCACAAAAAAAAAAAAAAAATGCACCAGCAACGGAGGGACGGCCTAGGACAGTGGCTCTCAGACCTTAGTAAGCACACAAATAACGTTAAGTATGCAGAGTCCTGCCCCCGTCCCTGGTGATGCCAAGGCAGGTGGTCCTCTGACCTTACTCTGAGAATAACTGCTAGGGTCCAGGCAGGGGTGCTCCCTGACTGCTACTCCGGCCACCCTCCTAGATTAAGGTATTTCCCACAGGGCTGAGGTTTGAAGCCTGACCTCCAGATAGGGGAGCCAATGTCCATGACCATTAAAAGGGCAAGAAAGCAGGCTTCTTGTCTGGATCCTGCCCCCCATTCCCCCAAGATGCTGGTGAGAGCTGTGTGGAGAAAGCGGGCTGGCGACAGTCACCCAGCCTGGGGAAGGCCAGGAGCATCAAGCCGTGCTGGGCAGGCAGGGCAGGGACACTGAAGGACTGGGCTGGCATCCCAGTACTGCCAGAGGCTGGCACTAGACACTAACTTCTGGAATCCCAGGGTCTCCAAAAGGCATTCCCTACAACCTGGAACAAGCACCAGTGCACCTGCTGGGGGAGCTGCCTCCCAGCTTTCTAGCGCCAAACAGCCTCACTGAGGAGCTTGCTTCAAACTAAATCTCCAATCTTATTTCCCACCACTCACCTTGGAACACTTATGCTGCCTTCATCCCCTAAACACAGCCAGTGTTTTAAACATTAAAAGTCTAAGCCTTATTCACGCTCTTCTTCTGTCTGGAATGGCAAGTGTCCCCAGCCCCAATCTTCTTCCCTCAAGGTCCAGTTCAATGCCACCTCTTCCATGAAGCCTCCCCAGATCATGCTGGCTGGTAGTTACTCTGGTCCCCATACGTTTGGTCTCTGTGCCCATGACTCCTCTCTCCTACTATACTGAGCTCCCTGTGAGCAGAGACCATGTCTCCATCACTTACTCACTCACTCAATGAGCAGCCTCTGAGAACCAGGAACCCACATGCTGATGATTTCACAGCAACAAATGAGTTGTAGCCCCTGCCCATCATGGGGGACAGACGCCCTGAAGGGGTAAGTGGTGGGAAGAGAGGAAGCCCTTACCCAGTGTGGACAGGACCAGCTTTGTGGCACCCACCTTCCAGTTTGTCACACACGGGTACTAAGTGTGACCAGTGTGAGTGAAGGAGGGAAAGCCATGGGGCCCCAGCTGCCAGAGAGGAAGAAGAACCCAAAGGTGCAGGTTTAGCACCGAGAATAGTCACCCTCGAGCACTGACCTGAACTGGGAGCAACTGCTGGCTGGACAATGGATGCCGCCACAGACAACTGCTCCCCAGGGGGAGGGATCAGGGTGGAGGTTTTCCCCCCTGGGGGAGGGGGAAGCAGGCTCAGTCCTCCTGTGCTGGCGGGCCGGGCTCGGGGAGGCCCAGCTGCTCCTTCCTTCTTCTTCATGTTCTAAAGAGAGGGCAGGAATGCGAATCAGTCAGTTCTGCTGGAGTGCCTCTGCGATCAGAAAACTTCAAGAGGAGGCCCAAGGTGACCCCTGGGCCCCAAACGTCCGTATCACCAAAAGATGGTCAAGAGCCATCCATCCAACACTTCCATTGTTATGGGGTGTATTCAATGCATCACAATTCTAAAGCTATCACAAATGCTTTTAATTTAAAAACTCAGCACCCGACTTCATTAATCATCAGGGAAATGCAAATCAAACTACAATGATATACCATTACACACCCACCAGGACGGCTAAGACGTAGCATATCAAGCACTGACAAGGGTATGGAGCAACCAGAACACTCACATTCTGCTAGTGGAAGTGTAACCAGAGAAAACCACGTTGAAAAACTGGAAGGATCTTTAAAGCTGAACGCATGAACCGACACCCCTGCCATTCCACTCCTACATGGACCCAACAGAAATGCATACACATGTGCACCAAAAGACGCACATTTGAACATTCACAGCAGAACTACTTGCAATAGCCCCAAAATGGAAACTACCTACATGTCCACCATCAGTTAAATGGGTAGATACTGGGATACATTCTCATAACGGAGCATGCCACAACGAGAATAAAGCAACTACACAGAACAATATGGATGCTCTCACAAATACTACAGAGTAAAGGAAAGGAGTCATACACAAAAGGGTATGAAGTGTATGAGTCAATTAATAAAACACTGAAAACAAAACCTAGGGTGTTCAAAGTCAGCACAGTGGCCACTCCATCCTGTGCGAGAGAGCAGGAGAGGGGCTTCCAGAGTGCTGAGAATCACCCACTTTCTTGATCTGGGAGCTAGTTTGTAGGGGTAAACCTGGTTTTTAAAAATTCACTGAGTTCTACATTTATAACGTGTGTACTTTTCTGTACGCGCATTATACTTCGACAAAACATTTAAAAAAGAAAAACAAAAACCTGAACACCCAGGTGAACCAGAAACCAGAGCAGCTCAAAGGTGAAGACAACGTGGTTCCCACCTTGTCAGGAGAGCAGCAGCTTAATCACGTGCTGAGACCACAGCCTGAAGGCAAAAGCCCTCAAAGACCTGGGCGTGAGCCCAGCTGTGCCAGTTATTTCTAGCTCTACGACCCTGGGCAAGACCCTCAAGCTCTCTAAACCTCAATTTCCCCACCTATAAAAGGGGAGGATGTTTAATTCACACGAGAAGTACCTAAAAAAACACTACCTGGCACAGAGCTGATGCTCATTAAATGTTAGTTTCCTCCCAGCAAGATAGAGATTCACATCCCCAACAGTTCACTGGACATGACCTGGATTTTCTCTTAAGGGCCAGCTGGCCAACTTCAAGGGTCCCAAACCATCACCAGCATGAAGCAGAAAAGAGGAGAAAGAGATAGTAAGTAAAGAGGAAGAGCGTTATTTTAGGGTTACAAACTTTCTTCAGAAAACAAATCCACGGGGTCCTTGGTTCCCCCAAATCACTCATCTCCACCCCCATAGCCAGGTAAAGGCCAAGTCATGGCTGTCCAGCCCAGCTCGACCTTTCCCTCTTCTCAACAGGAGCTAACGGGGGAAAGCCAGATGTAGGGCAGCTCAGGACAAGACACAGGGAGCCAGGACAACACCACCAGCAGAAGCTGTCCATGACTCCCAGTGCCCACCCTCGAGGCTTTCCTGCCCAGAGTGCTACCAAATCTTCTTTCCTCAAGGCTCAGACCAAGACACAGCTTGGGATGAGCACACTGACCCCCCCACCCCACCCCAGCCCCCAAAGCCAGGACAGAAACACCAGCTCTGGCAGCAAGTGACTGACGTTCCTTAAAGCAGAGGCTTGGCACATGCCGTTCCCTCTGCCTGAACCACCCTTTGACCCCTCTTCCCTTGCTTACAGGTCGCTTCTGCAAGGAAGCCTTCCTTGGTTCCCCCTAACTCTGGACTGCACGCTCCTCCTCTAGGAGCTCATGGCACTGAAGACATCCCTAGGTCGTAGAACCATCCCGCCATGTTGTAATCACACCCAGACTCCCCCCATCTCAGCTCAACTCTGAGCTCTATGACAGCAGAGCCCTTTCGTTCGCCCCCAGCACAGTACCTGGCACCAGGCAGCTGCTCAATGAACATGTGCTGAACTGTGAGAAAAGAGTGATGGGCTCTGGGCTGGGCTTGGTGTGGTGGCCGTGACAGCCAAGTGAGGGGGGGACTCACTGCAATGTTGAGCTTGATGGTCTGGCCCTCCTTGAAGCTTAGGTCCAATTTGGGACCTTGATCTGGGTTCTCAGCTTGTTTTGCAAATTCACACTGCTGTTTCACCCACCTGGGGAGAGAACAGGAAGGAAAAGGTGAGGAGGAGGCGAGCTGCCCTGCCTTCACGCACTCACTTCATTCATACCTGCCACCAGTCCAGGACGAGGCTTTTACTGCAGCAGCGGGGCAGAAACTGAGAGCAGCTTGGGAGTTAGGTGTGAATTTAAATCCTAGTGCTGACGCATACGCAGCTGCACGCACGTCAGTTTCCTCATCAGCAAAATGGGATGACAACTCTCTATGCCTTAAAGACTGCTATGAAAATCATGAGGTCACTTATGTAGAGAGTCCTAACACTGGTCTTTAGGAAATCTGAGAACCTGGCCATCTCCTCCTCAGCATGTGGCATGAAGACTAAGACAAGTTCTCCACATCCTTCCAGGGGCTTAAAAAGTAGATGATGAGACAGGACAAGTGCCCAGAAAGTATTGAAAGCAACCAAAAAGGTCTCCTACCCTCCATACACCCCTCTTAGTAGCCACCCGAAGCAGAGAAGAGCTAGAGGGGCCCACGAGAGCAGCTGCACACTCCCCGCAGCCAGAGGTGGAGGCCTGCAGATGGCAGGGGAGAAGGCTTTCCTGCCCATTTAGCTTCAGAAAGCACCACCAGGGTGTGTGCTGAGTGGCCTGGGAATCTGAGCACTGTTTATCACAGCATGGAGGGACAGCCCCAGAAAGGCCAAAGGAGCCTGACAAGGACTCTAGCCGCTCAGGGGCCTGATGAGGGAAGAGATGTGACACCTCAAAGGCTGGGCCAGCTGACTGGGATGGCAGAGATGCACCTCGGGTAAAGGAAATGACTTCAAAGCAGAGATGAGGACTGGCAGAGCGCAGAGAAGGTGACCTGCCCCGAAGGAGAAGTGAGTTTTCCTGAGGCTCTGCTGGCAGACGTACCACACACCACCACCTGGGTATCCTAACCTGGGAGACCATTCTGTCCGGGGAGAGAGGGAGGAGGCATGAGTATGTGTCTCCTGGAGCCACTCACTTGAAATGGTCCTGCAAGGCAACATTGAAGTCAAAGGCATCACCTCGGTCCCCGAAGCCAATTCCAATAAACGCCCGTCGCCCTGGGGGACAACACACGATCAATCCCACTTCCCAGAGGCAGAGAAAACCCTTCTCAGAGGAAGAAGCTCCAAGTCCCATGCGTACCGTTTCCATCTTCGATGCGGATAACGAAGTACCTGCTGGAATCCATCACGCTCTCCACAGCTGTGCCTGGAAACTGATCCACTGGGGCCTGAGCAAAGAGCTCCCCTGAAAGCATAAGGGAGGGTGAGCCTTGAGGACCCCCCAGACTGTTTCTATCACATGACTGGGGCCTTTTCCTGAGAGGCAGATGGGCAAACCTGACTCTGGGTTTCAAGTCAAATCCACTTTGGCCGAAGGGAAAACAGAGGAATATAACCAAGGAGAGGTTTAAGTCAGAGGTGGCTTACAGGTCAGATCCACTCACAGTTTCAGCATTTTCAATTTAACTGCCAAACACTTCAAAATCAGATTACTTGTAAAATAATCCAGATGTCTGGCTTCTCTTAAAATCAAAAGCTCTAGCAACGCTGGGCCTCCATTTCTACATGAGAACGATGGGCTGGAGCTGCTGGCCACTCATTCCACCTGCCTCAGCCATTCACAGCCACGGCCTGCACCCCCAGGGCCCTGGCTCACGGAGATCATACCTTCAGAAAAGACCTGGTGCCTGAGGCAGGCCTCCAGAGGAGCAGGTGAACCCAGTGGAAAGGGGGGAGGGTTTTTGCACTCACAGAAGAATCTGAAGCCAGTGGATTTAATCTAATCTCAGGCCAAAAGAGTGACTGCTTTTAAAAGGAGCTCTTGTGAAATGCATCCCCTCATTACCTACGGCTCTCCAGGGTGCAGTGCAGCACACACCTTCTGTGAACATTTACGACTCGCATCATTTTTGCGTGTGCTGATCTCAGTTGACGTTTTAAGTATTTAACCAATAGTTTCCACTAAGTCCTATGGTTCAGAGGTGACTGTGTAATTAAGGCTGAACTGAATCCAAATCGGTGGCCTGAGTTTGTAGCTTCTTGTTAATTTCTCTCTCTAGTTTTGCACCTGGGGACTGGGATTCACCTGGATGCCTTCAGCCTAGAGCAGTGGTTCTCCACCATGGCTGATTTGTCCCTCCCTTCCACCAAGGGACATCTGGCAATATGCGGTGACATTTTTGTTTGCCACAACTTGGGGGGTGCTACTGGCATCTAGTAGGTAGAAGTCAGGGATGGTGCTAAATATCTGAAATATGACTTAGACCACAACACTCAGCTGGCCCCAAATGTCACTAGTGCTGAGGCTGAGACACTCTGGCCTGGAGTGATTGGAAAGTGAGAGACGAGAACGACCCAGTGGGCATGACCTCAAGCTAAGAGCGTCCTGGGGTGGGTCCTGCAGGTGAGGCTCAGCTTTGAGCAGTGGCTGGTACACCAGGTGTGTACCTTAAAGTCAGTTCCCAAGGCCCCTAGAGAACAGGTGTTGCCATTCCCTTGTGACACCACCTGGGACAACCCAGCAACTCTGACAGCCAGAGTTCTCTGGCCTAGCCACAGCAGCTGTCCCTTCAAACTCCTCTGCCACCAATGCTCAGTCATGCTCAAAACAAATCAATGCTTTGGGTCACCCTGCAGTTCACAAAGCATTCGGATAAATATGTGCTCACTTTGTATTTCCAACAACCTTGTGAAGTAGGAGCTAATGTGAGCCCCATTTCACCAAAAAGGAGGCCAAGGTGCCAAAGGTCACGTGGCTTGCCCAAGGTCCCACAGCTCAGACAAAAGTGATGCAGACCTGAGAAGAGGCAGCCGGTTCTGCCTATGAATCTTGGCATTTTATTTGCCCCACAAGGAAAATCTCTACATGTTAGAAAAAATAAATGACCGAATGCCGGGGCATCTGACTGGGCAAGCCCTGCGCCCGATTCCGGCTCTGGCTGCGGGGGCTGGCACTATTCCAGGCCATGCTGCCCTGCACAGCTCACCCAGAGGCCCTGGTGGTGCAGGACTTCAGAGAGATTTCACCAAAGGTGAGAACTGCCAGCTGACCCCAGCACAGCCCAGCTTAGCTTGTCCTCTCACCACAGAAAGAGCTGAGAAGGACAGTTTCCAGTTCTTTCAGTTAATGGGTGTGGTCAACCTGGGAGGTTACCATTTGGTCGATAAGCAGAATTCCTGATTAAGAACCCGAGCTCAGCAGCAGAGGGCTATGCGTCTTCACCCGGCTTATCTTCCAGGCAAGCTCCGGAGCTTCCTACTTGGGACCAACCTGCATGTCTTCTCTCCCTGGGCTCCAAAATTAGTATTTTCTTAAGGATGCCCAAAAGAACAGGTGTTTGACAGGAAATACTGCCTTTTAAACTAAAGGCTGGGGGAATGGAAGCGGCTTGTAAGTATACCCGGGCCTTTGATTTCTAGGACAGGGCCCCACGATCCCTGAGTGGCTTGGCCAGGCTCGGGCCACCCATCCCTTCACAAAGTGGGAGGTATGGTACCACGCAGATCTCCCTTGCCTTTACCTGAGGTCCTGTCCTCCAGCTTGATGTAGGCCACCTGCCCTTTTGCAGTGATCCGCAGCCGGCCACTCCATGATGGCTGGTCCAGCTGCCATTCCGCAGCCCTAAAGGGACAAAAACCATTGTGCCTCTGCCAGAGGTTCCTGCTCCACTACTCCAATGCTGGGGGTGGGAATGGGAAGGACATGTGGGCTGCTCGCTCCAGACCAAAGGTTGGCAAACGTTTTGAGAGAAGAGCCATACGATCTCTGTCCCAACTACTCACTCTGCTACTGCAGAGGGAAAGCAGTCATGGTGCATGAACATGTGGGTGCTTTAATTATTTTAACCAAATATTTTCTACTGAGCATGGCTGTATTTCAGTGAAACTTTATGGACAACCTGAATTTCATACAATTTTCACATTATGGAATATTCTTTCAAATTTTCCCCAATCACTTAAAAATGTAAAAACCATTCTTAGCTTATGAGTCAAACAAAAACACAGTGGGTCGTAGTTGGCCAACCCCAGTTTCAGATTATAGAGACTGTCTCTGAAGTAGGATTCCAGTTTTCTTTCTGTAGAGAAAGCAGCTACCAGGGCCCATGGTTTGTTTATGACACTGCTAGGCTGCAGTGGTCAGAGCCATCATTTGGGACCACTGAGACCATCTTGAAGGAAAAGGAGAGAGGGGAGCAATCATCAGTAGAAGAGAAAAGGAGAGCAACAGGACATGTGGGATAAGTGAATGAGCATTCAAGAAATACATCCTCAAAGGTATCCTAAGAAGAAATAAACCCAGGAAAACACAGACCTATCACAATGGCCTCTTTTGGCTCTTTTAAAGTATTAACTTCATATTTTAGTTCTAAGCAGCAGCTCAGTAAAACCCCCAAAAGCAAAAACCTTGGGTGTTTCCAAGAGGCTTTTCTTGGAAGTCCCTTAGCATATGCCAGGACTTGGAGAGATACCATTAACTGTGGACGCAGATTGTTTTGAAGGCCACACAAATGCAGACTCTCGATTCACAAGTCAGCTGACTCAGCTTCAGTTCCTCTTATTGGGGCAGGAGGCCTTAGACTCAAGATAAGCAGAGTTCTGAGGCTGAAGGGCAGGGGTTGGCAGTTTCCTCTATGCCAACCTAGCCAGTCCTAACACTTGGTAACCTCGATCTCTTGGGACCAAGAGGGACCAAGCTCATCCTCCTGAAGGGGATGGGGGCAGATGATCACCTCTGGTTTGATGGCCCATCTCCAGTTTGACAATAGAATGCAAAATGTTTGTTATTTTACTATTGTTGCTTTCATATTATTTTAAAATTATGTCATGGATGTAGTAAGTATTCAATAAAATATTTGTTCACTAGAGAATCAGCTATAAGGGCTTCCCTGGTGGCACAGTGGTTGAGAATCCGCCTGCCAAGGCAAGGGACACGGGTTTGAGCCCTGGTCCGGGAAGATCCCACATGCCGCACAGCAACTAAGCCCGTGCGCCACAACTACCGATCCTGCGCTCTAGAGCCCGTGAGCCACAACTACTGAGCCCGCAAGCCACAATTACCGAGCCTACATGCCACAACTACTGAAGCCTGCATGCCTAGAGCCTGTGCTCCGCAACAAGAGAAATCACTGCAATGAGAGGCCCGCTCGCCACAACTAGAGAAAGCCCGCATGCAGCAACGAAGACGCAACGCAGCCAAAAATTAATGAATTTTTTTAAAAAAAGAAAAGAAAATCAGCTATAAGCCCACATTAACACAACTGGAAAGTAACAAGAGGCCAGGTATGTGGACACTCCACCATTCTTGTGGCGCAGGCCAATCCTGTATTTCCAACTAACTTGGACAAACATTGCTTTCAAGAGCCCCCCCGACCCCCGGTGGCACAAACAGCCATAGGCCAGGTTGTCTGTGTCAGGTACATCATATTTTCTTTTAATATTTTTCTTCTTTTGATACATGGTGACAAAATGCAAACAGTACAAAGAGATATCAAGTCACAGGAAGTCTCCTTTCAACCTCCATTTTCCTCTGGTGGGGTAGTTTCCTGTGTTCCCTTCTACACACTCTACGTTTACAAACACGGGTATTTATTTCTCTCAGGTGAACATTTCACCAGCGAAGTACGGATGGATGCTTCCCAACTGCCACACGCTGTGATAAGGACTGCAGCTCGTGCCAAAGAAGCTGGGCAGGGAGGGGTCCCTGGGCTTTCAACATCAGCTTAAAACTACCCGGGACGAGTTCTTTTGACCGATTCGGGGCTCCCTTTCTTCCCCTCGGGGATTTCTGCCAGTGACAGAGTGCCTTTCCCGAAGGCTTTTCAAGGATCCCTTCAAGGCCATCGGTTAGCTCTGAAAAATATAGGTCTGTGACACCACCACTCCTGACCCCGTTTAGGGTCCCTGGCCCACCTGGGTCCCCGGCAGCCCGCTCGGCGCTAGATTCGGCTTTCATGCCTTCCCCGCTGCCGGGAGCCCCATGCGTCAGACTGAGAAAGGCGAAAGTCTGGGTCCCCCTCCCTACTCTGGCCTCGAACTGGAAGAAACCGCAGCATTACCTCCCCGCGCACCCTGCCCCTCGCCCGTCAATTGGCGGGGCCGTCCTCAGCTCCCACAGTGGGCGTGTCGGGGGTGACAGGGAAGGGGTTAGGTGGTGGCTAGCCTGGCCCGGCGGCGGGTGGTCACCTGTAACCACGGTTGGTGGCCCGCGGCGGGATGCGGTAGACGTGGACCTCTGGCTTGACACAGAGAACCGACTCGTACTCGCCTTCCTCCATCTCGACGCCCGGAGCCCGCTGGACTTCCGGCTCCTTCCCCGCCGCGGGGCGGAAGCGGCGCGACTCTATGGTCCATGTCAGGCTAGAGCGGCAGCTCGCGGGCCTCGGCCGCTCATCGCCCACGCGCCCTCTGCTGGAGGCTCTGGCTCAAGACATGCGGCGGACGGACCTAGGAGCTCATTTGATGCGGAGCGGACTAGGGTTGTCTGGGGGCTTTCTCTTCCACGAGGTCTCGCGGGCCTTTGCAAAGAAAACTTTAATACAGATCCCACTGCAATCCATTGTCTGGTTGTGGGTCATCCCCATCGCCTCAACACTTACACCTGGTGTCCAGTTGGCTGAGATTCAAAGCTGTAGCTACCTAGACAGCTCAGCCTGACGCCTCTCTCTCCTCCAGCCTCTGCTTCCCTCGGCTTTTCCTGAATGTCCCGCCATCTCCTGACTCGTAAGCCGCGACTGAGGCTTTTCCTCCTAGAGAAATCCTTACCTGTCCCACCAGCTAAATGCGATGTCCCTACCCTGCCACCCTTATCCTTACCCACTGTGGGCCCAGGGCCCCTGTTGCCTAGACTCAGCAAAAGGTTGTATTCAAAGAAGCAAAGTTTAGTAATAACATAAATAATTTAAAAAGTATCCCAGTCTTAACTTGGATTTCTCACAGAATCTTGTAGGAGTTACAATGTCTAACCGGAGTCAAATTCTCAAAATCTCTTCTCCTCCTCTACCATTCTCTCATTCATTACACAAATATTTAATTAAGTGCTTACAATGTGCCAGGTCCTCTGTGGGGCACAGCTGATCCCAAATTCACTGATTTACTGAATGCTCCCAAACTTTCTCCACTCCCTTCTTCCCTCTCCTCTCTCTCTCCTATCACTCACTCTTTATAAGCTCTTTATTATAGGATTGATCTACCCTCTTAAATTAAAAAAAAAATTATTGTGGTAAAATATACATAACATAAACTTTACCATTTTAGCCATTTTAAGTGCACAATTCAGTGAAATGAACTACATTCACCACTATCTATTTCTAGAACTTTTCATCATCCCAGACCCTTTACCCATTAAGCAATAACACCCCATTTCCTGCTACCCACCCCCTGCCCCTGGTAATCTCTATTCTACTTTCTGTATATGAATTTACCTATTCCAGGTACCTCATATAAGTGGAATCATACAGAATTTGTCTCTGTGTCAGCTTATTTCACTTAGTGTAATGTTTTCAAGGTTCATCCATGTCATAGCCTGTATCAGAATTTCATTCCTTTTAATGGCTAAATGATATTCTATTGTATGGTGTAAAACAATTAATAAACAGAAACTGCAATTAAATAGGAGACCAGCATGGGGAGCTCTTACACCCTGGGATGATAGCAGAGCCCAACAGGAAGAAGAAAGACTCCTCTTCTTTCCTGGCAAGAATTCAGCCAATGAAAAGCCACGAACTCTTTGTTTACTGTATCCTTCTTTTTCCCAACTTCCTTTCCCCCTCTGTGAAAGAGTTCTGCTTCCCTTGCCCCGAGGGAACTTGCACATGGCTGGCCATTGTTGCAGACTCTGAGTTGCAATTCTCTGCTGATCTCATGTAAACCCATCTTTGCTGGAGAAATTCTGGCGGTCTATTTATTTCAGGTCAACAACGGATACACCACATTTTATCCATTCATTTGCTGATGGACATTTGGGTTGTTTCCACCTTTTGGCTATTGTGAATAATGCTGCTGTGGATTACTGGTGAATAATACCTGTTCAAGTCCTTGTTTTCAGTTCTCTTGAGTATATATCTAGAAGTGGACTTGCTGGCCCATATGGTAATTCTATGTGTAGCTTTTTGAGGAACTACCAAACTGTTTTCCACAGCAGCTGCATTTTCCATTTCCACCAGCAAGGGTCCCAGTTTTCCACATCCTTGCCAATACTTATATTCCATTTCCTTTGATAATAGTCATCCCAGTGGGTATGAAGTTAACCTCTCTTTACGTGAATTGATTTAACTTCTAATTTCAACTTTGCTCCTTACCCTGATTCTGCACAGCAAAGAAGAAATTGAGAAGTGAGATTTCTTCCTCCTAGTTCTTTGTTCCTAACTCATTTTCCTAAAGTCCTGGAGTGGCAGAGACAGAAGTCCCCTTAGAAGCTGGAGGGGAGAGATGTTGAGATGGGAGGGGAGAGCACACTCCCACACTGACAATCTTGTCCCCTCACATTCTCATCATTCTGTTTACATGTCTGCTCTCCCACTAGACTGCAAGCTTCTTCTTTTTTTCTTAAAGGTTTTTTATTTTATTTTATGTGGACCATTTTTAAAGTCTTTATTGAACTTGTTACAACGTTGCTTCTGTTTTATGTTTTGGTCTTTTGGCCATGAGGCATGTGGGATCCTAGCTCCCCGACCAGGGATCGAACCTACACCCCCTGCATTGAAAGGCGAAGTCTCAACCACTGGACTGCCAGGGAAGTCCCTAGACTGCAAGCTTCTTGGATGCAGGACCCTGTCCCTGCCTTTGTGAATCCCTGTGTTCAGCAGCACAGGGTCTGGTACAGAGTAAGTGCTCAGTGAATGAATGGGTAAATGAGTGTGTGTGTGTGTGTGTGTGTGTGTGTGCGTTCATTTGGTTACATCCCAAAGCCAAGGGGCAATTTGGGAATGAGGCACTGTGTTTCCTCTTTCACACTGTCTTTGCATCAGTATGTGCTGCACAACAGTAGGGGAAAATAGGGTATCCCAGGAGTAAAGCACCTGGACCCTTTGAGTTGGAGAAAATTTCAGCTGGGAGAGCATCTAGGACCAGCTCTTAAGAGCTAAACTTTGGGATAGCATCCACCATCAGCACCAACATCCGTCACTTCCTTTCTGGAAGCCAAGCAGTGTGAAGGTGGCCCACGGTGACTGTTTTTATTTATTTATTTATTTATTTATTTATTTATTTATTTATTTATGGCTGCGTTGGGTCTTTGTTGCTGCGCATGGGCTTTCTCTAGTTGCGGCGAGTGGGAGGCTGCTCTTCGTTGCAGTGCGCAGGCTTCTCATTGCCGTGGCTTCTCTTGTTGCGGAGCACCGGCTCTAGGTGCATGGGCTTCAGTAGTTGTGGCACGTGGGCTCAGTAGTTGTGGCTCGCGGGCTCCAGGGTGCAGGCTCAGTAGTGTGATGCACATGGCATGTGGAATCTTCCCAGTCCAGGGCTCGAATCTGTGTCCCCTGTCTTGGCAGGCGGATTCTCAACCACTGCATCATCAGGGAAGCCCACGGTGACTGTTTTGGGCCTCCCCATGAAGCTGCCCCTGGTAGGACACCTTCCTCTCATGAATCTGGAAGGGAATGCTCACTCCGTGCCAGGGGGCAGCCAGGTTTTACAATGTGTTCAGAGCACTTCCCGTTCAGTTCAGTCTAACAAAGATGGGCATTGAACATCGACTATAGGCCAGGTGCTGGGTGATGGGACCACAGAGATGAGGCCCCCCCAGCTCCTGCCTTCATGGAGCTAACAGAGAGGAGGAGACAGAGAGAATGCGGAGTGAAAAGTGCTATGATGGAAGAAACTCACAGGGGGATGTGGGAGCGAAGAGAAGAGAGATCCCACTCAGCCTGGGGGCAGTCAGGGAAGGCTCTCTGGAAGAGGTTACCTTGACACAATAATCCCTGTGAGGTAAGCAGAGCAAGGATTTGTACACAGATGTTCACAACAGCATTATTCATAATCCAAAAAAGTGGAAACAACCCAAATGTTTATCAACTGATGAATGGATGTACAAAATGGGGAATTCCCTGGTGGCCTAGTGGTTTGAATTCCGGGCTTTCACTGCCATGGCTCAGGCTTAATCCCTGGTTGGAGAACTGAGACCCCGCAAGGTGCACGGTGCGGCCAAAAAAAAAAAAAAAGTAGTATATTGGCCATAAAAAGAATGAAGGGTTGATACAAGCTACAACACAGATGAACCTTGAAAACATCTGCCCCGTGAAAGCCAGTCACCAAGGACCACATAGTGTATGATTCCATTTAAATGAAATGTCCAGAATAGGCAAGTCTATAGGGACAGAAAGATTAGTGGTTGCCTACGGCTAGGGGTGGGGTGGGAGGACTGAGGTGATGGCTAAGGGGTGTGGGGCTTCTTCTGGGGGTGATGAAAATATTCTAAAATTGGAGTGAGGATTGTCCAATTCTGTGAAGATACTAAAAGCCATTGAATTGTACACTTTAAGTGGACGAGTGGTACAATACATGAATCAAATCTCAATGAAGTTGTGAGGAAGAAAGTGCCCTGAAAGGGGGACAGAGTCTCTATTGGCCACCCACCCCCCTCAATTCTATCCTCAGATCCCATGCCTTTCTGCTAGGCTTGGGGCTTCCTCTTCTCATCTAGATTCTCACAGAGGTTGTAAGCTCCAGATGGGGATGGAGAGGGGGCTGGATCCCCTCCGGAGCCTCTGCCCCCTTAAAACTCCAGCTTGTGGAATACTGGGACCTGAGAATTCTGAGGTTGAGACTGCGCTTTCTGAGGTGGAGACGATGGGGGGTGCGTTTGAGGGGTCTGGGAGGGGGGCAGGTTTCCCCCAGATGGGTCATCTAACCCTGGGGCAGGAAGGCTCAGAGGAAAGGGGAAGGCTTAGGGAGCCCTAATGGGAGAGAAGGGAGGAACTCCAAGGAGAGAGAGAGGGGCTCGGTCACAGAGCTGACCTCCTTGTGCCAGGTGAGAGCCTAGGTCCTTTGGGAGGCTGGAGCTGCACCTGGAGTGGGGGTCACCTGGGAGCGGAGGCTTGTTTGCATTGTGGTGATACAGGCCCAGAGGGTAGGGCTGGAGGGTAGGCAAGGTTGGGAGGAAAGGAGAAGGGAGAGGGGATTCGGGTCGGCAGCTGTTAAGGGTACCTCCCCTGTGCCCCTTGTAAACAAACTGTGAGAGCTACCAGACCCCCAGTGTATCCCCAAGGCCTGATGTCACATGTCTGTTAAACAACTGGTGATTGCATGGGTGAGTGAGGGAATGAATTAAGCTTCTTTGGAGGCAAGATAATGTGGTGAGATAAGCAGTCTTGGGAGTCACACAGGCCTGGGTTTGAAGCCGGTTCTTCTGCAGATTTGCTGTGTGGTATTGGACAAGACTCTGGGCTACCCTGAGCCTCCATTTCCATATCTTTAAAACAGGGCTGAACCCACTGACCTCAAGGACAGGGTGGTTAGAATACCGTTGGCAAACGTGCCCAGCAAACAGAACGTTCCTCCATGGATGGTGGCCGGCCTGTCATGATTTAAAGTGGAAGAAGCAACATCAAGATCCTCAAGGTCTCAATGAGGGGGTAGGATTTACCCTTAGAAACCAGTTAACAGTGAAGAGAGGTCCGTGGCGTCTCCGTAGAAAGGGTGTTGATGTTGCCTCAAAGGAATTCAGAGGCCGGAGAGAGGGCTAAGGTGGTTGGAAGCTTGGAGAAGAGGTGGGAGCTTGAAGGATGGGGTGGGAGGTGCTGGAGAAAGAGAGAGAAGTGGGAAACGAGCAGAGAAGCTGGGGGATCTGCAGGGTTAGGATCGCAGGAGTCTGCCCAGATTAAAACAGAATGTTTGTGTAGGGTGTGGCAGTACAGCCAAATAGGAGGTTGGGTAGGAGAAGCAAAAATAGAGACCCTAGGGGCTTCCCTGGTAGCTCAGTGGTTGAGAATCCGCCTGCCAATGCAGGGGAAACGGGTTCGATCCCTGGTCCAGGAAGATCCCACATGCCGTGGAGCAACTAAGCCTGTGCACCACAACTACTGAACCTGTGCTCTAGAGCCCGTGAGCCACAACTACTGAGCCTGCATGCTGTAACTACTGAAGCCCACGCGCCTAGAGCCCCTGCTCTGCAACAAGACAAGCAACCACAATGAGAAGCCTGCGCACCACAACGAAGAGTAGCCCCCGCTCGCCGCAACTAGAGAAAGCCTGCGCGCAGCAGCAAAGACCCAACGCAGCCAAAAATAAATAAATGAATTTATTTAAAAAAAAAATGACCCTAAGAAAGGCTTTAGAAAGGGATGTGTCCAGGGCAGGGTCAGGGTGATTTGGTGAACTACCTATTGCCATTGGTGACTTTAGGGCCCCCAAGACAGACGTTCCCCATTCCTATTCCTTAGCTCCAAGAAGAACGGAATTTTCCTCTCTAGCAGCAGCAGCCGTGACACCCTTGGGCTCTCTTTATTTTTGTTTTGTTCTGTTTTTGGCTGCGCCGTGCAGCATGCGGGATCTTACTTCCCCGACCAGGGATTGAACCCGCGCCCCCTGCAGTGGAATCGTGGAGTCCTAACCACTGGACCGCCAGTGGGAATTCCCTCTTGGGCTCTCCTTAAAATGCATCTTAGGATATTAAGGGCTCTGAGAAATCCTGCAGGAAAGAGCCTATTTCATTTTAACTCAGCACTTTCCGACACATTTGGCCTCAGAACCCTTTTTTTTTTGTGGTGTACCTCATGGGACCAATATCCCCAAGAACACCTGTTAGGAAATGCTGCTGTAGGGAAAAGTGTGTGGGTTTTGGGACCCAATAGGCCATGGTTTGATTCCTGCTCTGTGACCTATTTGTTGTTGGACCTCGGGCAAGTCACTTTGTTTCCCAGAGCCTCCTTTTCCCCAGAGTCATCATGAGAATTGGGGAAAATATGTGGGTAACGCATGTGGCTGGCTCTCTGGTCTTGCTGCATGCCTCTCCTATGCCAGGCCTGGTCCTACCTCTTCCCCTGAGCCAGGCTCTCTGCATGACAGACTCCACGTGGGCTGCTGAAGAGGCAGTTAGGTAATGGGCTTGGTGGAACTTTGATTGGATTTCTTTTCTGGGAACACAGCATTTGATGCTCCTCACTCGGTACCCTCGTTGGCCCTGGCACAATGCACAACAGAAACGCCCAGATGTACGTGGAGTGTAGGATCACGGCTCCAGAGGCCCAGCTGAGTCCTGGCCTGAGGACTGCCAGCAACAGGGCTGGTGTTGAGCCCACCATATCAGAAGTCAGCCAGGTAGGGACCTGCATCTCTACTCCCAGCAGCCACCTTTCCTTTCCCCTGCCCAGGTTTCCTTCCCTCCCCAACTTCTTTAATTAAGCCTCTATTACAAGTGGCACAAAACTCAATTCAAACTGGATTAGGCAGGAATGAGAACACATCAGCCTGCGTAACTGACAAATCTACCTGTAGACTTCAGGTATGGCTGGATCAAGGTGCTCAGTGAGTGTCTCTCAGCTCTGCCTTCCTCTGTGGCATTCCCAGGCAGGCTCTCTCTGCAAAATGGCAAGAATTGCCCTGGCCACTCCAGGCTTAAATCTTCCCATCTTACATCCTCTGCCTTAGCATTCCTAACAGGAGGAGAGCCTCTTTGCAATAGTTGAAGAAAGTCTCTGGTATCAGTGTCATTGGCCCAGGTTGTAGTCATATGTTTATCCCTGAACCAGTCACCATGGCAGGGCAGAGTGGCCTGGATCTCTTGGTATAATGGAACCAGAGGTGGTACTCAGCTTGCTCCGCTGAGCCGCGTGGGCCGAATGGAGACAGGAAGTTTCCCATAAAAGAATGTTGGCTTTGTTATCAAAAGAGATGCTGGCTGGGTGAGCAAAACAAGAATTGCCTACTTACTTCCATGGCCTTTAGCCTCCCTGTCCCTTATATCCTTTATTCCCCTGACAGCTGCTCAAATCTTCCATCCATGACCCTCCTCATCCCCTAGCCTGCAACCGAAGCTCTCAGTGCTCCTCTCGGCCTCTTTCCATCAAAAAAAAAAAAATTTTTTTTAAAATGCCAAGTGGCAAGAATTGAAGAGCACAGAGAGGATCTTCCTTTCTGTGTCCCCAGAGCCAAAAATGTCACCATAAAAATAGTCAACACTCCTTTGGATTAAGTATCACCCTCTCCCTGTAGCCTCTGTTATAAATCATGGCTTCTCCTAGGCCCCCGGAGAGGGCCTGAAATGGGGGTCTTGGAAGGAGGCTGGGGTAAACATTCAGGGCTTCCTTTACCTGCCCATTTATTTTTCCAATGTGCATAGTCAGGGGGGTCTCAGTGCCACCACTTAACCAGCTGTATGACCTTGGGCACGTCACTGCAGCCCTTTGAGCCTCATGGGCTCATGTGTGTCATGTCGAGGATTAACTGAGTTAAGGCCCTGGAGGCACCTGACACTGGCCCTGCCCCGTGGTAGATGCCCTTAGTGTTGGCTCACAGTGAAAGCTTGTATTATCAACTGATTGAGCCAGGTTGCCTGGAGTTTGCTGCCTCAGGCGAGGCTTGGAGCTGCCTCTAAGTCATTGACTCAAGGTCACCCAACTAGAGAGTGATGGGCGTCAAAACCCAGCTCCAGAGCCTGAGCTCTGAAGTAGCGGAAATTGTGGAAGCCTCTCTTGGAACTTGTGAGGGTCTTGAAGTCCCCCAGGGCACTCAGTCAAGTTGTCCTCAGTGGCATCCCCTTGGCCCAGGTACTACTCTGGACTCCAGGTTCACGCTGGAGCCATCGGTGCTGACCGAGCCTCTCTCCCCCTGCCCCTTGTCTCCTCCTTGCCTCTCTCCAATGTCTTCCCCAGTTAGGCACGGGATCTCCCCGTCCCTGAGGCCAGGACGATGCCAGAGAGTGGGAGAATCCCTCCAGAATGGGCCAACACTTGAGCCAGTACCATGGGCATCTTCGTTCTAGGTTGTGTTTACAGATGCTGAAGGGATAGACAGTGGGAAGCAGCCCTCATCAGAACCAGGAGAGCCAGAGGACGGGCCCAGACACAGAGAGGCATCAGAGGAGGGGTCTCCAGAGCTCAGCACCCAGGAGCAGATGCCTCCGGCGGGGCCAAGGTGAGCCAGGGGCTTCCCAGAGAGCAGCTCCAGGAGAGAATCCCCTGTGACTCACCTGGTGGGGAGGGAGAGGAGGGACAACTTCCAGGCTAAGGTGGATCCACCAAGTCACAGCCCCTGTACTTCTCTTTCATAGCATGAATCACACTAAATAATTGTTCATGTTGACCTTTTGTCTGAGCTCCCCCACTAGACCACAAACTTCTGTGATGTGTCTTGTTCAAGGGGCATTTATGTGTTGTTTAACCTCACATCCCTCATGCCGTGGACTCTGCCTGTAGCAGATGAGCAATAAATACGTATTCACTGAATTCATAGAAGAATGAACAAAAGAGAGGCTGAGAGACACAGAAACACACATTTATGTGGAATTATTGTTATTACTTTCTAAATATTGTATATATCTTTAAGCTTGCCTACAGTGAGAATATATTCTTTTTAAAAAGAGAAAATGGAGGGGCTTCCCTGGTGGCACAGTGGTTGAGAGTCCACCTGCCGATGCAGGGGACACGGGTTCGTGCCCCGGTCCGGGAGGATCCCACGTGCCACGGAGCGGCTGGGCCCGTGAGCCATGGCCGCTGAGCCTGCGCGTCTGGAGCCTGTGCTCCGCAACGGGAGAGGCCACAACAGTGAGAGGTCCGCGTACCGCAAAAAAAAAGAAAAAAAAAAAAAAAGAGAGAAAATGGAGAGAGAGCCAGAAAGAGGCAAAGTGAAAGACTTGGGAGACTGGTCAGCTTATCATTTAAATTTGATTATAACCAAAAACCTCTAAATAATCTCTTCTACACGATAAGTTAGGGGAATCAATCAAAGCCAGGTGTCAGCACCCCTGAGACAGGCGTTGCGCACCGTGCTGGCAGAAATAGAAACCATTTCCACACATCTGCTTACACACTTGGCAATTTGTTTAAACTGCTTTAAAACTGTCTTTACCCTCATCTATTTCTAGAAATATCTAGGAAATAAGTGCATATTCAGGCAAAGTTTTATGCACAAAGATTTCCACATTATTTTAAATGCTAAAAAATTGGAAATGCCAGTGTGCACTAAATGCTCACAATAGGGGGATGGTTAAGTAAATTATGATTTTCTATAAAATAGAGAATTTTAGGGGACTTCCCTGGCGGTCCAGCGGTTAAGACTCCACGCTTCCACTGAAGGGGGCGCAGGTTCAATCCCTGGTCAGGGAACTAAGATCCCACATGCCACACAGTGCGGCCAAAAAGTAAAAAAAAAGAGAGAGAGAGAGAATTTTATACTTTCATTAAAAAGCATGCTTATGAGAGATTTTTGGCATGGGAAAAATTTAGATTATACTGTTAATTGAAAAAAGATTGCAAAATTGTATTCGCAATACAACTAGGTAAAATTATGTAATAATTGAAGATGGTATTTAAATGAATCCCCATTAAAAAAATGTATGTATATCCTTAGGAAGAAGCCTGCAGGAAATACTCCGGAATATTAAAGTGAGATCAGATAGGTGCAGATTCAAATCCGGACCTGCCAACTTCAGCTTAATGACCCGAGGCTTAAGTCTTCCGACCTCTCTGAATCTCAATTCTCCCTGATCTTTCTTTTTTTTTTCTAAAAAGCAATAAGTAATAATAAAATATTAAATCCTAACTCTCTTAAACATTGACCTCAAAGTGTCTGTGATTGGGGGAATTCACATTAGTCCTTTATTCTTTCTCCTAGGCATTAAGTTATGCACCTATGTTGTGCCGAGCCCTGTGCGGGTGCTCTGGGAACTATGAAGAAATATAAGAATGTAAAACTCTGCCCCAGTTTGGGAGCTGAGGTGTCCCTTTGTCTGTTCTCCCCAGGATGAAGCAGTCATCTTTGGCCCCCACAGGAAGGGCCCGGGGAGCTGCAAGCAGGCCAGAATCAGGCCACGCCAGGAAGTGAGCTGGAAGTGCTGCCCTCCAGGGTCCCTGCAGCACAGGAAAGGCTGCAGCAGCAGAGCTCATGGAAGGAGACCAAGGACCAACAGCGGAGCCAGCAGAACCTAGGAACTGTGGAGGGTCAGTTCCCCGAGAGCCGCCAGGTAATGTCCATGGAGACCTGGGCAGGAGGGTATGGAATGACTGACCCACAGGGGAGGCGAGGGAGCAGGGAATTGGTGGAGGAGATGATGGGGGGTTCTGTGTAAAATTAAAATCGGGACATGCTGGTTTTAACAAAGCTCAGACAGCTTTTCACGAAGATGGCGCCGAAGGCAAAGAAGGAAGCCCCTGCCCCTCCTGAAGCCAAAGCTAAAGCAAAGGCTTTGAAGGCCAAGAAAGCAGTGTGGAAAGGCGTCCATAGCCACACACACACACAAAAGAAGATCCGGACGTCACTCACCTTCCGATGGCCCAAAACACTGCGGCTCGGGAGGCAGCCCAAATATCCTCAGAAGAGCCCCCTAGGAGAAACAAGCTTGACCACTGTGCTACCATCAAGTTCCCCTCACCACCGAGTCAGACATGAAGAAAATAGAAGACGACAAGGGACTTCCCTTCCTTGTCGGAGTGGCGGAGTGGTTAAGAATCCGCCTGCCAATGCAGGGGACACGGGGTCGAGCCCTGGTCCCACGTGCTGTGGAGCAACTAAGCCTGTGCGCCACAACTACTGAAGCCCGCGCGCCTAGAGCCCGAGCTCTGCTACGAGAGAAGCCACCGCAATGAAAAGCCCGCGCGCCGCAACGAAGAGTAGCCCCTGCTCACCACAAGTAGAGAATGCCTGTGCGCAGCAACGAAGACCCAACGCAGCCAAAAATAAATAAATAAAAAGGAAACAAAAGAAAGGAAAATAGAAGACAACAACACACTGGTGTTCATTGCAGACGTCAAGGCCAACAAGCACCAGTTTAAACAGGCTGTGAAGAAGCTCTATGACATTGACGTGGCTAAGGTCCACACCCTGATCAGGCCTGATGGAGAGAAGAAGGCACATGTTTGACTGGCTCCTGACTATGATGCTTTAGATGTTGCCAACAAAATTGGGATCATCTATACTGAGTCCAGCTGGCCAATTCTCAATATAAAAGTTTTCACTATAAAAAAACAAAAACAAAGCTCAATTTTTTTTTTTTTTTTTTGGCAGTATGCGGGCCTCTCACTGCTGTGGGCTCTCCCGTTGCGGAGCACAGGCTCCGGACGCGCAGGCTCAGTGGCCATGGCTCACGGGCCCAGCCGCTCCGCGGCATGTGGGATCTTCCCAGACCGGGGCACGAACCCGTGTCCCCTGCATCGGCAGGCGGACTCTCAACCACTGTGCCACCAGGGAAGCCCTCAATTTTTTTTTTTTTTTAATGCTAGGATATTCTAGCATCTGTTCCTTAGCTGCTGAGCACTATGGGACCCTGCAAGATGTGGTTAGAGTGTGGTACCTTTTCCAAACTTATTTGAATGTAAAATATCTTTTAATTTATTTTTATTTTAAGATTTAAGTTTTTTTTAAAAAAACAAACAGCTTCAGTGAGGTATAATTGACATACACTTGCGCATACTTCAAGTATACAATTTGATGTTTTGGACACGTGTATACCCATGAAACCGTCACCACAATCAAGAAAACAAACATATCTATCACCCCCCAAAATTTTCTGTGCCCCTTTGTCATCTCTCTTCCCACTCACCCCCAGCCTCAGGCAACCACTGATCTGCATTCTGTCGCTATAAATTTGTTTGTATTTCCCAAAATTTTCCATAAACAGAAGCATACAGTATCCACTCTTTTAGTCTGGCTTCTTTAAATTATCATGATTATTTTGAGAGTCAGCTATGTTAATGTGTGGACGAATGCTTTATTCTTTTTATTGCTGAGTAATATTCCATTGTACGGATATGTCACAATTTCTCGTCCTACTATATAGCACAGGGAACTATATTCAATATCTTGTGATAGACCATATAGGAAAAGAATATGAAGAGGAATGTTTATATATGTATAACTGAATCACTTTGCTGTACAGTGGAAAGAAACAAAAACCAGTTTCTTCATTCTTTCATCTATTGATGGACATTTGGTTTGTTTCAACTTTTTGACTACTACAAATAAGACTTACAGAAACATTCATGTCTATATGTACATGTACTTTCATTTCTCTTGGGCAAATAAATGCTTAGGAGTAGAATGGGCCATATGGTATTTGTATGTTTAACTTATTAAGACACTGCCAAACTTTTCTCCAAGGTGGTTGTGCCATTTTACATTCCCATGAGCAATGTATGAGAGTCCCACTTGTTCCACATCCTCCCCAAAACTTGGTATGGTCAGTTTTTAATTCTAAGCATTCTAATAGGTGTATAGTTGAATCTCACTGTGGTCTTTATTTTCATTTTCCTAATGATCATGTCAAGCATCTTTTCATGCGCTTATGGGCCATTTGTATATCTTTGGAGAAATGCCTATTCAAATACTTTGCCCATCATTTTAATTGAATTAGTCAATTTATTGTTGAGTTGTAAGAGCGCTTCATATATTCTGGATACGAGACTGTTATCAGATCTACGATTTACAAATTTTTTCTTCCATTCTATGGATTGTCATTTCACTTTCTGACCTTTTTTTACAAAACTGGGTTGTTTTTTTATTCTTGAGTTTTGAGAGTTCTTATATATTCTGAATACAAGTCCTTTATAATATATGTTAATTTGTAAATGTTTTCTCCCAGTCTGGGAGCTGTCTTTTCCATTCTCTTAACAGTGACTTTCAAAGAAGAGAAGTTCTTAATTTTGATGAAGTCTAATTGATCAGCTTTTTCTTTATGGCTGTGCTTTTGGTATTATTTCTTAGAAATCTTTACTCAACCTGAAGTCACATAGGATTTTCTCCGATGTTTTCTTTGAGAAGTTTTATTGTTTTAGGTTTAACATTTAGGTTTATGATCCACCTTGAGTTAATATTTTGCATATGGTCTGAGTGATGGATTGAGGTTCATTTTTTGCATATGGCTGTCCAACCATCCCAGCACCATCTGTTGAAGACTATCCTTTCTCTGCTGAGTGTGCACCTTTGTCGAAAATCACTTGACCACATATGTGTGAGTCTCTCTACTTTGTTTCATTCATCTATTTGTCTATCCTTATTCCAACACCACACTGTCTTGATTATAGCAACTTACTAAAGTCTTAAAATCAGTTAGTGTAAAAATCCCCTTTGTAGGGAGTGCCGTGAAGGACTCTGGTTCTTTGAAACATCCCTTGGGAAATCCCATTTAAAGAGGATCATCTCACTTTCCGCAGGCTCCCATTCTACCTGCACAGAGAAGCCTGGATATGACTTTGGGCAGGTCCTGCCTCCTCTGGGCCTCAATGTCCTCATCCCTCAAAATGATGGAAAGTGGGCAACCTTCTAGGGGTGCTGGGAGAACTCAGTAAGGTAATGCTTGCAGTGCTTGCTTGAGTAAGGGTTTGACAGCTGGTCTCTGGTGAGTGTTGAGGGTCAACTGAGAGCCAAGATAGGGCTCACCATCTTGATGTCCTTGTCCTTGGCAGGACCCAGAGTGTCAGCCCTTCCCAGGTCACCTGGCCACCAATGAGTCAGACATAGTGCAGCCAACAGAGGCTTGTTGCACCTTGGACAGCTGTGGACAGCAACTGGGGGACAAGCCCCCCAAGGAAGTGGACACCCCACCCATCAGGCCACAGGGCGCTCTGCCAGAGCCTGGCTCAGGGGGACATGAGGACAGTCCCCAGGAAGCAATGTCCCTAATGCCCACGGCAACTCTGGAGGAAAAGACGGCCCACTCTTCCCCACCATCTATGCCAAGACCTAACACACCCAAAGAAAGGTAAGGCATCCTCTGATGGCCCCCCACCCCACTCCCTGACCCCAACAAGACTGCTGTTCTGCTAAGCTACAGGGGAGGTCAATTCTAGTCCTGACAGCTCCTGATATGATGTAGAACTTGGTCAAGTCATGCCCCGCTGGGCCTCCATTTCCCCATCTGTATAGTAGCTCTAATACCAGAATTCTTTGTTCCACGGGCCTATTCTTCAAGAGCCATGTCCCCACAGGGGATGTGAGGGTATGAGGAGCCCGTCTGGGATTAGAAGGCCAGGGGAACTAAGCTGGGGCGGTGGACCTGAGTGTCCTGGGGGCTGAGAGAAGGAGTGTGCAAGGGGCAAGACTTGAGCCGAGCCCCTCCCTCACCTGGGAGTTCCTCCCTTGTTTAGGGACAAGGCTGTGGAGATCCAGGCAGCACTGGGGCCTGTTCCTCCACCTGTAAGTAGAGCCACAGTGGGGATGGGGAAAGGGTGGGCTGGGGATCAGGAGGATGAAGGGGGCAGAGGCAGAAATGGGACAGTATTTGGAGTCAAACTGGGGAAGGTGTGAGCGTGTGCCTGTGTGTTTGCATGAGTGTGCACATGTATGTGCATGCGTGTGTGTGTGTGTTTGCACATGTGCATGTGTGTGCATCTTGGGTGGGGGTCAAGGATGCTCTTATACTCTAGAGTCCTTGGATTCACCCCAGGTCGTGGCTTTTTCCACATCAGCACGGATTTCTTCCACCCATTTGCTCTCAGTCACAGCACACAACCCAAAGCTTCCCTGAACACCTGGGAGGCTCCCATCCCCCTCCCAGCCATCCCCACCTCTGCCAACTCTGCCACTTCCCAGTTCTTTGATTTCATTGAGCAACCTGTGAATATACAGTCATCGTCTGCCTGGTGGAATGGTAGGTTGGAAAAAGAGGAATCAAAAGAGCCTTTAGGGAGTATAATCTACAAAAATATTGAACCACTATGTTGTACACTTGAAACTAATATAATATTGTAAATCAACTGTACTTCAATTTAAAAAAAGAGGCTTTAGGTTTGGGGCCTGAGCAACAAGTGGTGTCATTAACCAAGGTGGTGACACTGGGGAAGGAGCAGACAGGAAGAACCTAAGGTTCTGCTTTGGTCATGTCCTAGACACCCAAGAAGAAATGCCAGGGCTTCCCTGGTGGCGCAGTGGTTGAGAGTCCGCCTGCCGATGCAGGGGACGCAGGTTCGTGCCCCGGTCCGGGATGATCCCACGTGCCGCAGAGCGGCTGGGCCCGTGAGCCATGGCCGCTGAGCCTGCGCGTCCGGAGCCTGTGCTCCGCAGCGGGAGAGGCCACAGCGGTGAGAGGCCCGCGTAAAGCAAAAAAAAAAAAAAAAAAAAAAAAGAAATGCCAGGAGGACGTCTGGAGTTAGGAAGGATAGAGAAGTCAGGATGGGAGATGTAAATGTGAAAAAAATGGGGATAACATCTAGGAGAGTGAATATAGAGCAGGAAGGCATCTGAGGACAAGTCACTGGGTCTCTACCACATTTAGAAATGGAGGGACTTCCCTGGTGGTGCAGTGGTTAAGAATCTGCCTGCCAATGCAGGGGACACAGGTTCAAGCCCTGGTCCGGGAAGATCCCACATGCTGCGGAGCCACTAAGCCCATGCGCCACAACTACTGAGCCTGTGCCCTAGAGCCCGCGAGCCACGACTACTGAAGCCCATGCGCCACAACTACTGAAGCCCGTGCGCCTAGAGCCTGTGCTCCGCAATAAGAGAAGCCACCGCAATGAGAAGGCTGTGCATGGCAACGAAGAGTAGACCCCGCTCGCCTCAACTAGACAAAGCCCACGTGCAGCGACGAAGACCCAACGCAGCCAAAAATTAATAAATAAATTAATTAATTTTAAAAAAATGGAGCAAGAGCAAGGAATAGCCAGCGAAGGAGGCTGCCGAATACTCAGGGAGGGAGCCAGCTGGTGAGAGAGCGGGAGTCTGGAGAAGAAGGCGTTTCCAGAGGGATGGAGTGGTCATCTGGGTCTATCACCAGTCAGTGGTAGGCTCTGAGGAGGGCAGAGATCTGACCACCGCCTTGCAAGGGTCTGGTTGGGGCGTGGTGGCAGAAGCCGGACTGGAGATAGGAGGAAAGTGGAGATGGAGTACAGCCAAATCTTTCAAGGAATTTTGCTCTAAAGGAAGAGCAGAGAACTGGGATGGTAGTTGGAAGGCTTTGTACTGTCGGGGAGAGTTTTTTCTTTTAAAGAGGGAAGATAATACAGCATGTTTCCATGCTGATGGGAATAATCTGGCGGAGAGGGTAGTGCTGATACTTTAGGAAGAGCGGGTGTGTGGTGAGAGCTGCATCTTTTTTTTTTTTTTTTTGAGAGCTACATCTTTGAACCAGAGAAAGGGCTGGGCTGGAGCCTGCGTGGCGTGGCCTGGTTGGAGGTGGGCAGGGGACAGCTCATCCCTCTAATGGGACGGATGCAGGAGGTGCTGCATTTGCTGAATGAATGAGTGGGAATTTATCGAGCGCCTACCACAAGCTGGCTGCTGGGTCAATATGGATAAAAGAGGCAGACGAGGTCCTGCCCTCTGGAAACTTACTTCTGGTCAGGCAGGCAAACAACAGGCACGGACAGGGCCATTGCAAATTGTGTTGATTGCAGTGAAGCAAATAAACAAGTGGTGAGATGGGGAGTAACTCGCTCAAGACCACAGCTCAGAGAGCCAGGAGCGGGCAGAGCCCAGGTCAGGGGTGGGGGAGGACATGGGGCGGGAGCCTAGTAGGTTGCAGGAGAGAGGTGGGCCTCCCCAGGGGCCCAGAGAGGGAGGGGCAGGGTGAGGATCCGCTGCAGAGTGGGTGGCTGGGAGAAGTTTTGTGGGACAATCTGGCTGGCCGGAGGCCTCCCAAATCCCCTCCCCGGTCCTGTCCCCAGGAGGCGAGGGGCATCGGAGAGAGGAGGGAGATGGACCATACCCAGAAGCAGCCTCAGGATCCCGCGGGGGCCACGGGGGCCCAGGACCTTGGCAACCCCCGGCCGGGCTTCATGAAGTGCTTGTTGGAGGTGTAAGAGGAGAAGGCCACGCTTTGGAGGGTCACCAAGGCCCGTGCGCTGCCAAGCCGGAAGTCCCCCAGGACCCTGGCCCCCGTGCCTGTCTCTGTCCCGGTTGGCAACTCAGCCCCAACCCTGCCTCTGACCCTGCCTCAGAGTCCTGCCTCAGCTCCTGCCATGGCCCCATGCTGGGCCCGACCGCCAGCCCCTGGGCCACTTCCTGCCCCCATGGGAGCCCCAGCTTCAGTGCGCATCACAGTCCTGCCGGCCCCTGCATCAGACCTGGGCTGGAGAAGGACAGAACTTTTGCACCACAGCGGGGAGAGGAGCCTGAACTACCCCAAGGCACGGTAGGAGCCACCCCAGAAAGGGTGTCTGGGATCAGGGCCTGGTCCCAGGGCCCCTGGCTACTCTCTTCCAGATTCTTGTCCCTGTCACTGCACCTGTCTGTTCCCTCCCATGTGTCCCCGCTCCATTTCCCCTCACTTCTGTCTCCTGTCTTTCCCAGCTCTTGATCTTTCATATCTAGGCCCCTTTTTCTCTCTAACCCCCTTTAGACTCCCCATACCTCTGCCTTGCTCCTCCTCTGGGTCACTCGTAGACTCTCCTGACCTCTTAAAGCCTCCCCCGGGGTTCCTCCCATGACCCCCTCTGCCTCGGCTCCCCATCACCCGCCCCCAGCTTTTGGTGCAGGGCCGGGGTGGGTGGCTGAATGTGTGCCCTTTGCCCGGGCTCTGTCCTCTGCAGGCAGGAGCTGGAAGAACACTGCCTCTTGAAGGTGTGTCAGATCTGGGAGGAGAGGTCGGAAGAGCACCTCACACTGAAGCAAGAGGAAGGTGAGGGTGGGCCTGGCCAGGGGAGCCCCTTGCGGGGCAGGCAGAATGCTCAGTCCTTGGGTTTATGAGCCCGGGGTGGGGGACAGGGTTGTTGATCGTGCTGCTGCCCTGGTACCTACCCCAGCCCTGCACTTGGCTAGTGGGGTAGGAGGCTGACCCAAACTCTCACACACCACGGAGTCGGGGAGCACAATCCTGCTGGGTCCTCTCACCTGGGGTCCAGTTCTCTTCTCTGTTCCAGAGCCACCTGTCTGAATGAATGGAGCAAGCCTTGCAAAGCTCTTTCGCTTCTGGAGACGTTTGTGCCTACCCCAACCCAAGCCCGTGCTACTGGTCCTCTGCAGAGGCCACCTGGATGGGACGCAGGGCTGTAGAGCCTCCACCTGTCCTAGACCATCCCTCACCATCTAACAAGACCACCCGCCCTGGACATGTTACTGAACCAAACTGGGGTCTGCTTGCCCACACACAGTAAAGTCAATCTACTGACACCGGGTTGTGGTGAAGGAAAGGGCAGCGTTTATTGCAGGCTCCAAGCAAGGAGTCCAGGCAGCTAGCGCTTAAAAGGCCTAAACTCCCTGATGGCTTTCAGGGAAAGGTGTTTAAAGAGAGGGTGAGAGACAGGGTTGTGGGGTGTGTGATCAGCTCACGGACATTCTTCTGATTGGTTGGTGGTGAGGTAATCGAGAGTTGACATTATCAACCTGGTTTCAACCGGTCTCGGGTCTACGTGCTCATGGTCAGCACACAGTTAACTTCTTCCACTTGGTAGGGGTTTCAGTATCTGCAAAACAGCTCAAAGGACATGGCTCAGAATATTATCTATAGCCCTTGAGGAGGAACTAAATGTCCTTGACTTTGTTTAATGTCTGAACTATTATTGTTTTGTTTAACTTTGTTTAATGTCTGAACTATTATTAGTTTGTCTTGTTTGACTGTTTTCCTTTCTTTCTGCATTTTCTCACTTCTCTGATTAAATCCATTCTTTGGAACTTGGGGAAAGCCTAGGAGGCTAAAGTTTTTCTACAAACAAGAAGAGGCAGGCAGAGGACATGGGAGGTGTGTGTGTGGGGTCTGTCCCAGGAAGGCCCCATAGGGTCCTGCTCAGTTACACACAGGTCCCCATTTTCCACTGCATCCCACCTCCACCAAAAAATTTAAAAGTTCTGAACATGCACCCTGGGCGAGGCACTGTGCCCTTTGCTCCCCAACGTCCTTGGGGTTGGGCCCCGTGATTCCACTTACCTGCGCTTTGAGGAGTGATTGCTGCTTCCTCTGGGCTCTGGAGGTGGCCTAATCAGCCGTCCACATCCACTGCCAACCCAGCCACACCCGGCTCTTGCCCTGGATGAGGAGGTGTGTGCCCTCCTTCCACCCTCCGCTCTTCCCCAAAGTCTGGGCCCCAGGCAGGGCCAGAGCGGCCCCTTCTTCTGCCTTCCCTGAGTGCACTCTCTGGCTCCCTAGGACCCCATCTTTGAAGTTCACTCCTTTTAGCATTAAAAGTCTCTAGTCATTTTTAGAGGGGCTTTTCTAGGTCCAGCGCCCACTGCCCATCTTCTTGAGCTGAGTTCATGGACAATGTGCCACTTTGGCTTAGAGACTCAGCATTCTCCCCAAGGCTCAGCCCTGCCTGGTGAGGAAAGAGCTGGCTACCTGCTCTGATGGTCCAAACCACACTGCATTTGGGATGATCTTACCACTTTTGAGAGCTGTTCAGTTTTCCTTCTTCAGCGTGCCTGCCTGTGGCAGCTCACCACTTAGTCCAACCCTAATCCCAGCCCTACCTCTTCCCCACATTTCAGTTCTGTTCATCAGAGACTTAGTCTACGATGTGCCAAGCAATGAATTAATACAACCTCTCTGGGAGGGTGTACTGTTGTTCTGTCCATCTTACAGATAAGAAAATTGAGGCTCAGAGAAGCACAGTGACTTGCCCATGGCAACTATATTAGCTTGCTCAGGCTGCCATAATGAAGTACCGCAAACTGAGTGGCTTAAAATTTATTTTCTCATAGTTCTGGAGGCTAGAAGTCCAAGATCAGGGTGTTGGTATGTTTGGTTTCTTCTGAGGCCTCTCTCCTTGGCTTGCAGACGTCTGCCTTCTCCCTGTATCCTCACATGGTCTTTCCTCTGTGCACATGCATCCCTGGTGTCTCTCGTGTGCCCAAGTTTCCTCTTAAGGACACCAGTTAGGTTGGACTAGGGGCCACCCCAGTGGCCTCATTTTAACTTAATCACCTCTTTAAAGGCCCTATCTCCAAACATCATCACATTCTAAGGTATGGGGGTGGGGTGGTATTAGGGTTTCAACACATGAGTTTAGGCGGCAGGCACAGTTTAGCTCGTAACAGCAACCCAGCTTCTTAGTAAATGGCAGAGCCAGTCTTATCACTAGGTCTGTTGATTCTAACCTGGATTTTGCTGTGGGCTGTGAAACCAGACACCACACATGTTATGACCAGGACACGACTTTTCTATCAAGTGGTGCTGTTCTGGGACTTTCTCAGCATTTTTCCTGGTCCTCTGCTCCGGTCCAGACAAACGGAGCTGTCTTAGAGGCTATGTCTATCCAGATAAGTAACTGCAGAGCCCCAAGGCCAAGGCACAGACTCAGAGTCAGAAAGATCTATCTGGTCCTCTAACCTCTGAGCCTCAGTTTCCCCATCTTTACAAGGGAATAAGCATTCTACTCTTACCAGGCTGTTGTAAGGATTAAATGAGAACACGGCTATAAAGAGCTTAGCACAGTGCCTGGCACAGAGCAGGGTGCCCTAAAGTGGGCATGTTCTGGTGCCAGGTGAAGGCAGCTAACTAGCTGAGCTTTTGCCACACCAGCTGAGCCCTTGGTCTGACCTTGTACTAGACAGTGAAGTGAGTCAATGGGCCCACACCCCTCCACTTTCACTCTTCGTTAAGTTTGTCCTTCTACCCAGCCATGGTGATAAAGAAGGCTGGACAGGTGGTGGTTGGAGCAGATGGGATGAATGGTAAAAACAACCCCACTGCCCACCCCAGCCTTCCGCAGCTACTTTGAGATCTTCAGTGGTCATGGCGAGGTGGATGCACAGAGCCTGGAGAACATCCTGCTCCTCGTGGGCATGTCCCTGACGCCGGGCCAGGTGGAGGATGCCCTGAGGAGTGCTGATATCGATGGTGAGTTGGAGGAGGCTTCATCCTGAACCCCAGGCAGGGTCAGGTTCATGGGCAGCATAAGACCTGTGCAGTCACACAGGGCTCTGCGCGTACAGGGTCTTAACTTTGGTTTAATGCTCTGCTGTTACAGTCTAGAAATTCTTGATAATCTTTGAAAGAGGGGCCCTATTCTGCATTTTCATTTTGAACTGGGCCCCACAAATGATGTAGCTTGTCCTGGCCCCAAAGTTAGGGCTCCCTGAGTACCTACTCAGTGCCAGGTTCTGGGGACCCAGGGATGACCAAGACTTATTTCATGACCTAAGATGTAGGTGATCTCTGAGATCACTCCTTCCAGAGCTTTATGTGTGCTTCATTGGACATTCCTCCATGACTTGGTCACTCATTTTACCAGCTGTTTGACCTTGGACAAATCACTGAAGTTCACCAAGTCTCCGTTTCCCCACCTGTAAAATGGGGCTTACAGCAATACCCATCTCACTGGGCTGTTAAAATAATTAAATGAGATAATCCAGGCAAAGCATGGAGCACAACACTTGGTGCAGAGCATGCATCCGGGAGACATTAACTGCTGGTACTATTCATTCACTAAATATTTATTAACTGCCTACTGTATGTCCATTCCTGTGCTGGGCACGGGGAATAAAGACATGTGTAAGACCTATGAGACCTGCCCTCGAGGTGCTCACACAGTCAATGACACAGAAGGAAGAGTTGCTAAAGGAAGCAGCGCTTAAGGTGGCTTGGAGGAAGGGATCAGGAAGGAAGGCTTCCTGGAGGAGGTGATGCCTGAGCCAAATTGTGAAAGATGAAGCAGGAGTTAGGCAGGGAGAGGGGAAGGAAGAAGGGCATTGCTGGTGGCAGAAATAACCTGGACAAAGGGAATAGGGCACAGGGTGAGAAGCATCACATGTGGTTTGGTTGGCTAGATGCAGGGAACACAGCGGAGCCGTAGGGGGCCTGGGCTCCTGACCTCTGAGTGTCAGCTCTGCTTCCTCCATCACTGCCTGAGCGTGAATCCTCAGACACAAGCTAAGAATGGACCTCAGCTCGGCCCCTACATGACCCCAGGCAACTGCCTACTTTTGTCTATGCCTCAGGCCTCATCTGTGACATGGGGATAAGAGTATTAGGCGACCCCCCCCACCTCCTCCCCCCCACCCCCCCACAAGGGTGGCTTTAAGAATTAAAGACCACTCATCAATTTGTCAAGTAGTTCAGAGAACATTTGCCAAGCACCTCTCTGTCTTAAGCCCTGAAGACACAGTGCAGAACAAAACAGCCAGTTCCTGTCTCCCAGAGCTTCAGTTAAATCCCAGATCTTATGAGTGTGTGGTTCAAGTACAAGGGTTCTATGACAGTGTCCAACAGGGGGTCTGACCTGCACTGGTCTGACTTCCCTAAGGAAGTGATGGTCAAGGGGGAGCATTAAGTGAGAGAGTTGGAGGGAATTCCTTGGCAGTCCAGTGGTTAGGACTCCGCGTTTCTCACTCTGCGTTTTCACTGCCGGGGCCCGGTTCAATCCCTGGTTGGGGAACTAAGATCCTGCAGGGCCACAACAGACAAACAAGAACAAGCAAACAAACAAACAAAAAGAGTTGGAGGGTGGTGGAGAGAAGTCTAGGAAGAGGAAGCAGCGTGCACAAAGGCCCGCAACAAGGAAGAATGTGGCCCCTGGAGGGAGAGCAGGTTAGCGCTGGGGAGTTTGGTAGCAGGTGAGGCTGGAGACAGGTAACGGGCAGGTCTAGCAGGACTTTGAAGGCCAAAGTGGGAAAACTGTAGGTACAAATATGTTCTCATGCAGAGACTAGCACACTGTAATAAGAGTTGCTGATGTTTAATGAGCGTGTATTATATGCATAGCCCTATTCTGAGCACGTTGCCTCAATTTCTCTCCCATGAGAAAGGTGTTAAGGTCATCCTCACCCTATACATGAGAAAACTAGGGCTTAGTGGGGTTAAGAGACTTTGCCAAGGTCACAAAGATAGTAAGTGGTATATCTATGACATGAACCCAGTCTGCTGCTTCCAGGAACTTCTGGGAGCTTCTAACCCAGGAGATTTTAATTTTCACCTTCTACTTTCCTGTGTGCACCACGCTCTCCGCATTGAATATGCGTTACTTTTATCATCAAACCCAATGAGTAAATGCTAATAACCGTGCCTGGGTCGCAACGCCCGAGCCTGCTCTGAAAGGCCCCTGGCCACACTGTATTCTTCTGGCCTCCACAGGAGACGGCCACGTGAACTTCAAAGACTTCTTGGCCGTGATGACAGACACCAAGAGCTTCTTCTGCTCTGTGGGTGAGCAGGGGTGAGCCCAGGGCACTCAGAGCTGGGTGGAGGGGCCAGGTGGCTGCTGGGGCTCTTAGGCCTCCAGGGCTGTTAAGTGGTAACAGCAGCCACCATCCCACGTCCCCAGAAGAGAAGGCCTGACGGACATGGCTCCCCCAAACCCCCGCACTCTGCTCTTTGAGATCCTGTCCCTGCTGGTGGAGATGCTGGCCTTACCTGAGGCAGCCTTAGAGGAGATCACCAGGTGAGTAGGACTGGCTGTTGGGAGTGGAGGGCTGCGGACACGGAAATGGCACCTAGCGTTTTGGCAGCTGAGGACTTTTGATAATTAGGACTATTAGTTGCCAGTGAAACCCACATAAAACTGGCTTATACAACAGGGGAATGTATTGGCTCACATCACTGCTCAGGGCCTCAGGAATGGCTGGATCTAGGAGACCAGATGATACCATTCAGGCTTTATCTCTCCCGCTCATCTCTGCATTAGCTTCAAGCTCAGCGAGCCTCTTCCCACAGTGGGAAGGATGGCAACCGGCAGCCTCTACTCTACGCATACCCTCCTTGTCTTGCAACCTCAGCAGCAAGAGGAATACCTTCTTGCAGTACTCATACAGCAGTCCCAGAAAGGGAATGTGATAGGGCCTGTCTAGGGCTAGAGAACACGAGGTGGAAGCCTCCCCGTGTTGCCAGAGTGGGCTGGTGGGTGGTTAGTGGTTCACCTGAGGAAGAGACGGCTGTGTACAAAAACAACACGAACATTCGAGGGCTCGAAGCAGAGGGTCAAGGCAGAACGGCCCACCTGGTCTCTCCTGCAGCACACAGAAGCTTGTCCCTATCGCTCAGAAAGTTGGATCATTTTTTCCTGCCACAGACCAGGCTTTTTCGGCAGGGGCCGGAGGAGGGGCAATGATTGCAGGCTGTTCCACTAATACCAACTTAGCAAACCCCAAAGACAAGAGATCTTTCTTCCTCCCGGCATCTATAAATCACTAAACATATATAAGTCTGAAGACGACAAATGTATGATTTTAAAAGCAATAAAACAAATTGCCAGGTATCAATTTCTCCAGTTTAAAAACAGGGGTTCCCTGGTGGCGCAGTGGTTGAGAGTCCGCCTGCCGATTCAGGGGACACGGGTTCGTGCCCCGGTCTGGGAGGATCCCACGTGCCGCAGAGCGGCTGGGCCCGTGAGCCATGGCCGCTGAGCCTGCGCGTCCGGAGCCTGTGCTCCGCAACGGGAGAGGCCCGCGTACCAGAAAAAAAAAAAAAAAAAAAAAAAAATATATATATATATATAAAAATTCCAGTAATCTTGAAGCCCGTGTGTGCCCTACCCCAATCACAAAGTACTTTCTCCCTAACAAGAACCAACCCTTATTCCTTTGCTTTTTGTTTTAAAATTTCACTGCTTATTTTTTCCCTTATCGTTCATTGAAAATTTCACACATACGGCAAAGTTAAAAGAATTTTACAGTGAACATTTATATACCCACCACCTAGATTCTACTGTTGCCATTTTGCCATACTTCTTTTGCCATGCTTCTATCCATCTGTTCATCGATCTATATTTTTACTCATTTCAAAGTAAATGATAGTTATTTCCCTCTAAATACTTCAGCATACATGGCATTAGCTAATAATCAATATTTGAATAGAGCTTCCCCCCCGCTGCATATTGTGAGGTATAATGTACATTCATTGAAATGCACAGATCTTAAGTGTATCATTGAATGAGTCTCAACACATGCCCACACCCCAGCAACCTGAACCCCTTTCAAGATATACAGAACTTTACCATCATTCCAGAAAGTGCCCTCATGACCCTTACCAGTTGGTCCCTGAACTGCCCCCGCCATCCAGAGGCAATCACTCTTCTAATTTTTTTTTTCCATTACAGAGTGGTTTTGCCTGACAACTTCATATAAATGGAAACAAACCGTATATAGTCATTAGTGTCTAGCTTCTTTCACTCAGCATAATGCTTTTGAGATTCATCCATGTTGCTGTGGGCAGCAACAGCTCACTCCTCCTTATTACTGTATCCCATTGGATGAATATACCACAGTTCATTCATCCATCCTTTCATTGGTAGATTTCTGAGCTGTTTTTAGTTTTGGGTTATAATGAGTAAAGCCGCTATTAACATTTTTGTACAAGTCTTTGTGTGGACATATATTTTGTTACTTGGGTAAGTACCCAGAAATGGAATTGCTGGGTCACAGGATAGGTGTATTTTACTTACAAGAAACTGCCAGACTTTTTTATCTAAGTGATTCTATCATTTTACACTCACATCAACAACGTACGAGAGTTCCAGTTGCTCCACATCTTGTGCATATCTATACTGTCAGTCTTGCTAGTTTCAGTCTGGTGGATATGCAGTGGCACTTTTTAAAAAAAAAATTTCATTTACTTATTTTGGCTGCGTTGGGTCTTCGTTGCTGCGCGCGGGCTTTCTCTAGTTGTGGCGAATGGGAGCTCCTCTTCGTTGCTGTGTGCGGGCTTCTCATGGCAGTGGCTTCTCTTGTTGTGGAGCATGGGCTCTAGGCACACGGGCTTCAGTAGCTATGGCACGTGGCCTCAGTAGTTGTGGCACACAGGCCCTAGAGCACAGGCTCAGTAGTTGTGGCGCATGGGCTTAGTTGCTCCACGGCATGTGGGATCTTCCCGGACCAGGGCTTGAACCCGTGTCCCCTGCATGGGCAGGCGGATTCTTAACCACTGCACCACCAGGGAAGCCCTGCAGTGGCACTTTTAAATTTTGACTCACACTTGTTTGTATTCCTGAATACCTTATTGTTTAGCTTTCCATATTTTTTTACCTCTATCGGAGTGGACTCATACTATAAGTCCTCTGTTACTTTTTCTTCTCAGTGTTAGGTATTTGTGACTCATCCATGTTCTTATGCATAGCTGTAGATCATTTATCATTTTCACTGCTACATACTATTATCTGGTATGACTACATCATAATATATGTATTTGTTCTGCAGATGGACATTAGGTCTATGTTCAGTTTCCAGCCATGGTAGAAACAGTGTTAAAATTTTGTATATGTTTCCAGGATACCTGGGCAAGAGTTTCTCAAGAGCAGCAGTTTTAAAACTTTTTCATCTAGGAAACTGTCAATATTTTCTATATATGAACTTAAAACTGAGAGATCTAAAAAATATTAATTTATTTAACAAAGATAACCCCATTACATGTTAATAGAAAAAAAACATTTTACATGAAAAAATAACGATATTTTCCAAAACAAACAAACAAGAAAGTTAATGAGAAGAATGGCATTGCTTTACAATATTGAGAATCTCTTCAGTGTCTGACATAAAAGAAGTTGGCTGGATTTTCCTATATGCTTCTGCATTCAATCTGTTGTTTTGGTTGAAGTATATGAAGAAATCCGGCCTCACACAAATATGTAATTGGAAAAAGTATTTTAATAGCCTTTTCATTTATTATCCCATATATCATGGAGGTAGTTTTCTTTGATAGTACACCAAACTTGACGAGCAGTAGTGTCTTAAAAGTTGGTTGCAATATGGAATCTGATGCCATATCTGTGAACTGTTCGTTGTACTTTTTAAAAAAAATATTTATTTATTTGGTTGTGTGGGGTGTTAGTTGCGGCCGGCAGGCTCCTCAGTTGCAGCTCCAGGGCTCCTTAGTTGTGGCAGGCGAACTCTTAGTTGCAGCATGCATGTGGGATCTAGTTCCCTGACCAGGGATCGAACCCGGGCCCCCTATATTGGGAGCACGGAGTCCTATTCACTGCACCGCCAGGGAAGTACCCTCGTTGTACTCTTTTAAATAAAAAATCTATTGTTTTTGTAGTTTAAATGGATCTTTTCCCATAAATGGCTTTTGTAACATGCATTGTTCATTTAGAACATATTGCGTATCTTCTAAATGTTGACACATTTCATTGTAGTTATTCCATATATTATATGTATAATTATTAATATCACCCCTAATGTCAGACAAGTCTTTAGGGAATTCCCTGACGGTCCAGTGGTTAGGACTTGGCGCTCTCACTGCTGGGGCCCAAGTTAGATCCTTGGTTGGGAAACTAAGATTCCACAAGCCACAAACGTTTTTAAATATTAGAAGTGTCGTGTGAGGCTACAGTTCAGTTCACTCATTTGACTGTTATAAACTATTCTGTGTATGAACATGCATATGACACATGCTTATTATAATGGATTTTTAAAATTTTATTTATTATTTATATTATTTTGGCTGCACTGGGTCTTCATTGTGGCACGTGGGCACTCAGGCTCTTCGTGGCGGTGTGCGGGCTCTCTAGTTGCAGTGTGTGGGCTCTAGAGCACTCGGGCTTAGTTGCAGTATGTGGGGATCTGAGTTCCCTGACCAGGGATCGAACCCGGGCCCCCTGCATGGGGAGCTCGGAGTCTTAACCACTGGGCCACCAGGGAAGTCCCATGATAATAGATTTGCTTTCCCCAATTCTAATTTTTTACTTGAAAGCTTTCATTTTGTCATAGGTAACAAATGCTGTCAGCTCTTTTCCTTGAAAGGATGGGCTAACTTCATCCATTTTCGAGAAAATACCTGCCAAAATACGCAAGGCTGCATAACCATAGTTTGTCCTTTTTTCAAGTAAAAAATGACATTTAGTGTGTAGGGGAGGTAAAATTTTCCTTTACCCTCTTAGAGCTTCCAGCTGGGACTGATGTAAGACAGACCAACAGGAGAAAAGCATACACGTTTAACTTACACGCACATGGGAGCCCTGACAAGAATAATGAAGACCCAAAGAACTGAGAAGCCCGAGGGGCTTGCATACAAGGACGAAAAGAGTAGCAACTGTAGAAGAGTAACTAAAACATATGGGCAGGGGCTTCCCTGGTGACGCAGTGGTTAAGAATCCGCCTGCCAATGCAGGGGACACGGGTTCGAGCCCTGGCCCGTAAGATCCCACATGCTGCGGAGCAACTAAGCCCGTGCACCACAACTACTGAGCCTGCACTCTAGAGCCCACGAGCCACAACTACTGAGCCTGTGTGCCACAACTACTGAAGCCCGTGCGCCCAGAGCCTGTGCTGTGCAACGAGAAGCCACCGCAATAAGAAGCCCGCGCACTGCAACGAGGCATAGCCCCCGCTCGCTGCAACTAGAGAAAGCCCGTGCGCAGCAACGAAGACCCAGCACAGTCTAAAAAATATATATATATATGTGTGTGTGTGTGTATATATATATATATATATATATATATATATATAT